ACAGCAATCCCCACTACTTAGTTCATGTCTCTGGGTTGTGTATATAAATTCTTTGGCTTCTCCATTTCATACATTATTCTGAACCTCCCCCTGTCTATTATATCCCCACTAGTCCCCACGCCTATTCCTCATTCTCCTCCTTCCCCCATCCCCACTGATAACCCTCCAAATGATCTCCATATCTGTGATTCTGTTCCTGTCATGGTTATTTGCTTAGTTTATTTTTTTTAGATTCAGTTGTTGTTAGTTGTGAATTTGTTGCCATTTTAATGTTCATAGTTTTGATCTTCTTTTTCTTTAGTAAAAGTCTCTTCAATATTTCATGTAATAATGGCTTGGTGATGATGAACTCCTTCAGTTTTACTTCTTGTGGGAGGCACTTTATCTGCCCTTCCATTCTAAATGATGGTTTTGCTGGATAGTGTAATCTAGCTTGTAGCTCCTTCCTTTTCATTGCTTTTAATATTTCTTGCCAGTCTCTTCTAGCCTGCAAAGTTTCTTTTGAAAAAGTAGCCGATAGTCTTATGGGAACTCCTAGGTAGGTAACTCTCTGCTTTTCTCTTGCTTCTTTTAAGATTCCTTCTTTTCTTTAAAGTTTATTTTATTTATGATGTGTTTTGGAATAGTCCTCTTTGGGTCTGACTCATTTGGGACTCTGTGCTTCCTGGACTTGTATGTCTATTTCCTTTGCCAAATAAGGGAAGTTTTCTTTTATTATTTTTTCAAATAAGTTTCCAACCTCTTGCTCTTCCTCTTCTTCTGGCACCTCTGATTCAGATGTTGGTATGTTTGGAGATGTTCCTGGGGGGTCCTTATATTATCCTCATATTTGGGGGGAATTCTTGTTTCTTCTTGCTGTTCTCATTGAATGCTCATTTCTTCTTTACGTTTCAAATTGTTGATTTGTATTGTGACTTCCTCCCCTCCACTGATGGTTCCCTGAAGGTTTTTCTTTTCTTTTTTTAAAATATTTCATTGATTATGTTATTACAATTGTCCCATTTTTCCCCTTCACTCCTCTCCACCCTGCACCCCCTCCCACCCATAATCTCCCCCTTTAGTTCATCTCCATGTGTCATAAGTCCTTTAACTTCTACATTTCCCATAGTATTCTTACCTCCCCCTGTCTATTTTCTGCCTACCATCTATGCTACTTATTCTCCATACCTTTTCCCCCTCTCTCCTCCTCCCACTCCCCTGTTGCTAACCCTCCATATGATCTCCATTTCTGTGGTTCTGTTCCTGTTCTAGTTGTTTGCTTAGTTTGTTTTTGTTTTTGTTTTGGATGTGGCTGTTAATAATTGTGAGTTTGCTGTCATTTTACTGTACATGCTTTTTATCTTCTTTTTCTTAGATAAGTCCCTTTAACATTTCATAAAATAAGGGCTTGGTGATGATGAACTCCTTTAACTTGACCTTATCTGAGAAGCACTTTATCTGCCCTTCCATTCTAAATGAAAGCTTTGCTGGATAGAGTAATCTTGGACTTGGTCCTTGCCTTTCATGACTTGGAAACTTCTTTCCAGCCCCTTCTTGGCTATAAGGTTTCTTTTGAGAAATCAGCTGACAGTCTTATGGACACTCCTTTGTAGGTAACTCTCTTCTTTTTTCTTGCTACTTTTAAGATTCTCTCCTTATCTTTCATCTTGGGTAATGTAATGATGATGTGCCTTGGTGTTTTCCTCCTTGGGTCCAAGTTCTTTGGGACTCTCTGAGCTTTCTGGACTTCCTGGAAGACTATTTCCTTTGCCAGAATGGGGAAGTTCTTCTTTGTTATTTGTTCAAATAACTTTTCCACTGTTGCTCTTCCTCTTTTCCTTCTGGTACCCCTATAATTTGGATGTTGGAATGTTTCAAGATGTCCTGGAGGTTCCTAAGCCTCTCCTCATTTTTTTTTTTTGAATTCTTGTTTCTTCATTCTTTTCTGATTGGATGTTTTTTTCTTCCTTCTGGTCCACTCCATTGGTTTGAGTCCAGTTTCCTTCCTATCACTATTGGTTCCCTGTACATTTTCCTTTATTTCATTTAACGTAACCTTCATTTTTTCATCAAATTTGAGGCCAAATTCAACCAATTCTGTGAGAATCCTGATTTAGCAGTGTTTTGAACTGTGCATCTGATAGGTTGGTTTTCTCTTCGTTGCTTAGTTGTATTTGTTTTTGAGCTTTGATCTGTTCTTTCATTTGGGCCATTTTTTTTTCTGTCTTAGTGCATCTGTTACCCTGTTACATAGTGAGGGGCGGAGCCTTAGGTGTTCACCAGGGCAGGGTAACCCTTGTTGCTGGGTTGTGATGCTGTATATGGGGGAGGAGTCAGAGAGGGAGCAGTGGTGCTCGCTCCGAAGGAGGTTCTGAAGGATTTTAGTCACTTCCACCACTTCCCCCAAACAAACTGGGCCCTTCTGGTGCTGATTCCTGTGTGGGTGGGTTTGTGTACATTTTAGGACCCTGTGGGTCTCTCCAGTAAACTCTCCTGTGAGGCTGAGAGTCTCTCCCAGCACCTCAACCCCCACAGGTGCTTTCAATTGGTGTTTCCCAGCCCTGGGACCCTGGGTTGTGTGGTCTCGCTCCCCATTTTTGCCTGGTTTATCTTCACGCAAATGTGGGGCCACCCGGTCTGCCATCCGCCTTGTGCACCACGCCCCTCCACAATCTGCTGCCTGACTGGGTCCGCCAGCTGCTGACTTTGTGTGCCTGGGGTCTGCCAGCCACCACTTTGTTGGGACCCCTCTCTGCCCGGCTGCCTGACTCCACCCCTTCTACTGGTTTGGATGAATATGTCTACTTCAACTCCTTGGTTGTTGGATTTCCATACAGTTCAGTTTTCTGTTGGTACTGGCTGGTTTTTGCTTCTCAATTTTTGTCATCTTTATTTTGGTTGTGTGGTTGGAGACACACACAGTGTGTCTGCCTATGCCTCCATCTTGGCCAGAATTTTCAGATTTTTCTTTATTTCATGTAGTGTAAGCTTCCTTTCTTCCTTTATGTTGTTGCCATACTCAGTGGTTTATTTGAGCATCTTGATCACCAGTGTATTGACCTCTGCATCTGATAGGTTGGTTATCTCTGTTTCATTTAGTCCTTTTTCTGGGGTTTTGTTCTGTTCTTTCATTTGAGCCATGTTTCTTTGTGTCCTCAATTTGGCCACCTCCCTGTGTTTGCTTCTGTGTATTAGGTAGAGCTGCTTTGACTTGTTTATAGGTGGCCTATTGTAGAAAAGACACCTGTAATAAATTGTGTGGGGTGGAGTCTTAAGTAAATGTCAGGGTGGGGCAACCCCCTTCACCGCTTTTTGGCTCTGTGTTAGGGGAGGTCTCAGAGAGAGAACAGTGCTACTGCCTGGATTCTGGAGGTTTGCCTAGTACTCATTCCATTTCCAGTCACTTCTACTTCCTATATGCAGCTGGGGTTGCTCTCTTGCACTGGTGCTGAATCCCAGAGTAGGTAGGTTTGTGGATGTTATAAGTCCCTCTGCACCCTTTAAACAGAGTCTCCTGAAAATGTAGCAGTTTCTTCTGCTCCCCCAACCCCCTCTAGCTTTTATAGCCAGATTTAACTTCCTGGTGCTAGAACCCTGGGCTGTGCATTCTGGTCTGAGGTTCAGATCACTCACTCCCAAGGTATTCCTCCTGATTTTTATCCAGCATAAGTGAATATAGGACTATCCATTCTGCCATCACTCCTGCCTGCCTCTTTGTGCTACAGTTTCTGCACCTCTCTGTCCATGTCGTAACTCTGCCCCTCCAGCTCATCTGGGTGAATGTGGCTTCTTTAAATCCTTGGTTGTCAGACTTCCATACAGCTCAATTTTCTGACAGTTCTGTGTGTTACTTGTTTTGAGATCTAGTTGTAATGTTTTCTGTGGTTGCACAAGGAGGAGAAGCTCGCCTACCTATACCTCCATCTTGACCAGAAGTCTGGTGGATACTTTTAGATAATCCCTTTGACCAGGAGGAAATGATTTCATAGTTTTTCTTCTGTCTGATTATATAGAAATTATTAGGCATTCAACAGCTTTTTTTGTCATGCGATTATATAAATATCCAACTCATACCAAATTAGTCTCTGTATAAAATTATTACAGACTGGTTAATTTAAACAGAATTCATTTAAAGCTGAATTGTAGTTAATGTATCATCTTTTCAGTGTTAGATGGCTTTATTTGTAATGTGTTTTGCTGCTAAGGTGGAATATAATGAAGACAAAATGCTTGTCCTACATCACACCTGATGTTACCAATAGGTACTATGTTGAATCAGAGAATGAGTAATTGTCTTTGCTTCATCAGTTTGCTCCCTACAGTTTAGTTCTAGGCTGTGTATATTCTGGGCCAAGAGGGAAAATGGCAAAGTATTAAGGTTTGGCAGGAGGAGCTTGGGTTGTGGTTATGAAAGAAAGGAATGTGTCACAGGTGATCTCTGTCTTTTTGTTGAATCCTTTGGCTAGTAAGCCTCCTTAACCACACGTGCTGTTGAAATTCTGTATCTAGTGCCTTTTTAGGAGTGGTGCAGATACAGACCAATGTTTCTTTGTTGTAATTGTTTCTTATTTGTGTTTAATTTATTTATTGGTTTCTGGGAGAGGTTTGTTAAAATCTCCAATACAACTGTTCATTTTATATATATAAAATATTTTATTTTTATTGTTGATATTTTCCCCTCTTTCCTCCCCTTTACCCAGACCCTGCCTGCCCCTGGGCCTTCACCACTTTGTCATCTGTGTTCATGGGCTATGCATACATGCATATGTGTTCTTTAGCTAGTCTTTCCCAGTCCCCCCAACACTCTCCCCTCTGAGATTTGTCTGTTTCATGTATCCATGCCTCTGGTTTTATTTTGTTTATCAGTTTAGTCTTAATCAAATTAATGGAGAGTTACCTGGATAGAGTAAGAAAATATATTCTGTGGTCATCTGGATTCTTAACCTTTAATTGATGGTACCCTCAGACAGCTATGAGAACACAGCAGACTAAGGGACTATTTTGCCATTTTTTTTTTTCAGCATTAGAAGATACGTTGGAGAAGCTGAAACTCCTTGAGATGGAAAACAGTTCACTGCCATCTCCATGTCCCAACATTGATGTTAACATCAATAACCAGGTATTCCGGTTTCTTCTTTGTATACCTGTCACAAATCTCCAGACCTCCCAGAAATCCTTTTTTTCCAGAGCTAATACTTTTTTCTATTTTGCTAAGAAATTTGCCTGTGCTGAACTCTTATAAACCTGTTTTGTCATTTAAAAAGGAGAAATTTGTAGATGCACCCTGGTGCCAGGTGGCTCACTTGGTTGGAGCATCGTCCTGTACACCAGAAGATTGTGGGTTTGATTCCTGGTCAGGGTACATACCTCGACTGAGGGTTTGATCTCCAGTTGGGGTGTGTCCAGGAGGCAACAGATTGATGTTTCTTTCTTATATCAGTGTTTCTCTGTATCTCTTTCTCTCTCTCTCTTCCTTCCCTCTCTAAAATCAATAATAAAATATCCTCAGGTAAGGATTAAAACAATAAAATAGTGAAAAAGGAGAAGAAGAAATTTGTAGATGTTTAAGAGAGATAGTAGAACTTTGCGGACAACATTAAGAACTGAAAGGTCATCTCAATGTTTTTTTAGACACAGTCAAAAGTGATATGGGTGTTTAACCTTTTATTTTGATTCAACCTATCCTTTCTCTTGATTCTATTCAATGGATCTTGATTTAGTAGAACTTGGCAAATGCCTTTTGAAATTGTAGGAGGATTGGTTTGAAAGGAACTGCTCTATAATATAAACAAGGAAGAGAATAGAATTTCACGTGCTTTAACTTCGTCTTTTACACCCTTCACCACCCTTTTTCCTTTGACTTTGTAAGGCATTGAGGGGGAGAGGATACCAGTTAAACTTGTTAATTATAAAAAATTTGATTATTTCTACATAAAATATCTAAAATAAATTGAATGAGGTAAAAATAAATGTATTAGCTACCAGATGTCCCCACTAAATGGAAGAGTCAATTTTAGGTAATAATCTGGAGACATTTTTATTTTCTGTATATGTGGACAAGAGATAGCAAGGATCTGTTCAATGAATCTTGTTTTAGTTGGTTTCAAAGAAGAAAGGGACAGCTGATCTGCAGTTCTTTTATCCTTGAATAACTACTGGAATGTTTTTTCAGAGACCAGTGTGTAGAGAGTGTTTTTTTTCCCTTCTTGCATAGTAATTGTTAAAGCTGTCCTTTTGAATCCAAGTCTATTTTTTTAGTGTATTTTTGTCTTAGAAATGTCTTTTAGAAAATGATTAAATTTCAGGAAGGCTTTTATTTTTTCAACCCCCTCAGTATTTTTAATTACATTAGTTAATTTGCTTTCACATTGTCAGGTTTGTTTTTTTTTTTTACTACCTCTGTAAAGTAGGGGAATGCAGAGTCAGAGGCAGAAGGGTTAATTGAAAGTTTAGGTGACAGCTTGAGATGATTAGCAATTTGACACAAATTTAGTGGAGGACTGGAGTGAAACTAAAAAAGAATGAAGCTTGTGCATCTTGGGGAGGGGAGTAGGAGCATGATTGTCCATTACTCTGGATGAGAACTTGGCAGACTTTGGATTGCTTTTAACCCTTGGCATATGCTCCTCACTCAGCAGACCCTGACAGCCAAGGACTGCTCTATAGGAGGGTTTGAATGTCCACAGTCATTTTTTTGTTTAGGTATAATTTGGGGTATATAGGAATCAGGGTGTCCTTTTAATCCTTTTTGGTCTTCTGCTTGCCACATTTTGGCCATCCAAGGCAGATATATCAGCAGCATAGTAATCAGGTGCCATTGGAGTTATGTGCTATAAGAAAATAAAGTGAAAATATTTTACAGCTATTACTCAACTTGCATTTCAGTAATTTTCCCTGTCATACACAAATATGACAATTGTAGAAAACTAAAGCGTATTTTATAAAGCATGAAATTATAAATCCTCCATTATGCCACACTACTAAGAGGTAACTATAGTTGACAGTTTTAAGATACGTACTTTTAAACATTTAAATGTGATATATTTTTAAAAACTAAAATGTAGTAACACTGCTTTTTAAAGCCTATCAGTTGTAAACATCTTTATTTCAATGACATTACAGTCAATAATAAAATTGCATGCGTGTGTCATCAATATGTTCACTCAGTCCCCTATTAGACATTTAGATTCTTACTAATTTTCACTGTCATAATCAGTGTGGTGACAAACAGTCTTATATAAATATCTGCAATAGTTGATTTCTTTTTCCTGAGAAGTAAAGTGGTGTAGGTCAAAGTAGAGGGAGAATTTGAAAGCATTTGGTACCTTTGCAAAATTGCCTTCCAGAAAGATGCTAACAATGAATACTTTTACCTTTGATATGTTTATTGAATTATTGTTTTTGTTTTTAATATAGACAGAAAAAGAAATATCTGCCTATGTCAGAGGCAGATTGCTCTGAGAATCTATCTAAAGTATGCAACATAGTTGTCTCTGAAAAGAAAATGTCAAAGCATTTGAACTAGCTATTATTTTTCCAGCTTTATTGAAATGAAGTAGACAAATAAAATTGTATTAACAATATACAATATTTAAAGCATATGATATGGTGATTTGATATATGTATACACTGTGAAATGATTCTTACAATCAACATATCCATCACCTCAGAGTTACCATTTTTTGGTAAAAGAGATGCTTAATATCTATTCTCTTAGCAAATTTCAAGTATACAGACAATATAATAAACTGTAGTCACCATGCTGTACATTTGATCCTCAGAACTTATCCATGTTATAACTGAAAGCTTGAACCCTTTACCAGCCTCTCCCTGCCCCTACCACTACCACAACAATTTCTGGCAGCAACCATTCTACTCTGTTTCTACAAGTTGGAATTTTTTTTTTTAGATTTTACATATAAGTAATATCATGCACTATTTGCCATTCTCTGTCTGACATTTCACTTAGCATAATGCCTTCCAGCATCACCCATGTTGTTGCAAATGTCAGGAGTTCCTTCTTTTTAAAGGCTGAATAATATTTGGTGTGTGTATACACAGTCACACACTGTATTTTCTTTATCCACTCATTCTTTAATGTACATTTAGGTTATTTCCATATCTTGGCTACTTGTCATAATGCTGCAGTGAACATGGGAGTATATCTATTTGAGATGGTGATTTTGTTTCCTTTGGGTATATACCTAGAAGTGGGATTGTTGGATTATATGGAGTGAACTAGCCATGATTAGAAAAGGAAAATAGGGGTACCAGAAGGAGAAGAGGCAAGAAATTGAAAACTTATATTTGAAAAAATAATGAAAGAAAACTTCCCTAACTTTGTGAAGGAAATAGGCATATAAGTCCAGGGAGCACAGATAGTCCCAAACAAGGTGGACCCAAAGAGTACCACACCAAGACACAGTACAATTAAAATGCCAAATTTAAAGATAAAGAGAGAATCTTAAAAGCAGCAAGAGAAAAGCATATGGTTTACCTACAGGGGTGTTCCCATAAGACTGTCAGCTGCTTCCTCAAAAGAACTTTACAGGCCAGAAGGGACTGGCAAGAAGTATTCAAATGAAAAGCAAGGACCTACAACCTAGATTATTCTCTGTAGCAAAGCTATCATTTAGAATGGAAGAGCAGATGAAGTGCTTCCCACACAAAGTAAAACTGAAGGAGTTCATCATCACCAAGCCATTAGTATATGGAATGTTAAAGAGAATTATATAAGAAAAAAGATCAAAACTATGAACATTAAAATGGCAATAAATTTGTAACTATCAACACAAACAGAACAGAAACAGAATCATAGATATGGAGATCATTTAGAGGATTATCAGTTAGGGAAGGGGAAGGAGGAGAATGGAGAAAAAGGTGCAGGTATTAAGAAGTACAAGTTGGTAGGTACAAAATAGGGGGATACTAAGAATAGTATAGGAAATGGAGAAGCCAAGGAATTTACATGCATTAGCCATGGACATGAACTAAGGTTGGAGTATGACTGAAGGGAATGGGGGTACCACGTGGAGGGGAGCAAAGGGGGGGGATTGGGACAACTGTAATAGCATAGTCAATAAAATATATTTAAAAAATAAAATAAACATAATCATCTACCTGGTGACACCTCCAGAATTACAGGGATTAGTGTAAGCCAAAATCAGGTTGAAATTAATTTCAGTAGTTCTTTCATATCTGTGGGTTTGCTTTCCATGGTTTTAGTTACTTGTGGTCTGCTACAGTCCAAAAATACTAAATGGAAAAATCCAGAAATAAACAATTTGTTAGTTTTAAGTTGCATGCCAGTGTGAGAAGTGTGATAGACTCTCACACTGTCACACCTACGATGTGAATCATGCCTTTGTTCAGTATATCCATGCTGTATATGCTACCTGATAGTCACTTAAGTTATCAGATCAACTGCCCTGGTATCTCAGTGCTTGTGTTCAAAGAACACTCTTGTTTATTTAATAATGGCCCCAAAGTGCAAGAATAGTGATACTGGCAATGCAGATATACCAAAGAGAAGACATAAAATCCTTCCTTTAAGAGAAAAGGTCTGTACACTACAGTGAGATATTTTGAGATAACCACATTCACATAACTTCTATTCTAGTATATTATAATCATTCTATTTTATGGTTGATACTATTTTTAATCTCTTACTGTGCCTAATTTATAAATTAAACATAATTGTAGGTATGTATGTAGGGAGAAAAATGGTGTATGGAGGGCTTGGTACTATTTGTCATTTTGGGCATTCAGTGGGGTTCTTGGAGCATGTCCCCTGTGGATAAGGGAGGACTACTCTACAGCAAATGGCACACATTCTTCATGTGTGGTTAATTCAGGCATTTCTCCCAGATAATATAGTTGGTTTTTCAGTTGTTTAGGGACAGGAAATTAGGCTAGATTTCTAGAGGTCCCTATTAATTCATATTTCATGTTTGTAATTATTGAGCCTTAGTTTGAAAACACATGACTGTTTAAGGCATGTGATTTCCTGGTTGTCTAAAGATGAACTTTGATCAGTCCCTTCTCTATTTCCATGTAAGTATCACAGTTGCTTATAGTATATTTTTAATATCTAGGAGGAAGTGGTGAAGTTGACTGAGAAATGTCTTAATAATGCCATTGAGAGCCCAGGATTGACTGCTAGGAGAGTTCCTCCTGACTTGAAGAGTAATGTTTTGAAGGCTCAAGTAGAAGCAGTGCATAAGGTAAGCTGCCTTTAATGGAGATAGCTCTGCTGAAGTGAAAAGAACATGAAACTGAGAGTCCAGAGACTCTGAAGAACAAATAGAATACATGAGTAAAATACATAAATGTTAAGCAAGAGGGACCTAGCTAGTGATTAGAGAGTAGTACCAAGAAACATGGTCAAGATGGGGAAATGGCTTCCCAACTCTAAATACAAGCTCGATTAAGAGAGGGCAGTCATGAGACAAAAAGTAAGAGTAAAGACACTCAAGAGTTTTAAGTTTTTTAAAAAGGTAAAATTCCTATAGAAGTGAATCCCTAACCTTTTCCACTTTTTAAAAGAAAATTTTAAAGATTTTATTTATTTATTTTTAGAAAGGGAAGGGAGGGAGAAAGAGAGAGAGAGAAACATCAATGTGCGGTTGTTGGGGGTCATGGCCTGCAACCCAGGCATGTACCCTGACTGGGAATCAAACCTGCGACACTTCTTTTCTACTTTTATAGGCAAAAAATCTATAGATTCTAAGGCTCCTGTCCTGTCAATATTAAGTCTATCATTTTAGGGTTTTTCTATCAATCTGCTACTCCCTACCACCCCATCTACCCCCAATTTGGCAAAATTGTGATGTTATTAGTAATAGGAGTGGAAATTACAAGGTGAAAGAGTTGACTGTGACAAGATGAAGGGTGCACTGGTTTGGGACCACCCCCATGAAATTTATGGCATTCATGCTCCCAAAATCAGTTTTTCCTTGGCTCTACCTAACTTTCAAACTTATCCTCTATAATCACCAGGGCAGAAGCCTGTCTCACAAATCATGTTGTTAACTAGGATTTCAAAATATCCTGTTGTTGAGAAGATGCATTTTATCCATCCTGCCCCCAGGCACAAGCCTTGGAAAGAACTTGACAGTACTTGAAGAATGTTGTTTGTGTTTTTTATTTACCCTCTTCCCCCAGTATAAACATAAAATATAGTATTTACATAGAAAAATAAATATGTTAGGCTGGCCAAAAAGTTCATTCAGTTTCTGCCATACAATGGCTCTAGTAGCATTAAGTTGTTTTTAACTTCATTCAAAACAATTTTATTAGATTGTATTGTGACAGCTGTCATATCAACATGCATTAAAAATAACATAAAAATTGGTGTATTTGGGGGCAGCCATTTTAATATTGAAGATGGAAGAAGATATACAACATTTTCAGCATATTATGCTTTATTATTCCAAGAAAGGTAAAAATGCAACTGAAACAAAAAAAGATTTGTGCGGTGTATGGAGAAAGTTCTGTGACTGATTGAACATGTCAAAAGTGGTTTGTGAAGTTTCTTGGTCCTACTGACATTTTTGCCAAGTAATTATTTGCTCTAAGGCTGTCTTATGCTTTGGAAGATGTTTAGCAGCACCCCTGGCCTCTAGTGGGTACTAGAAGCCAATAGCAGAAAATAGCTGACATACTCAAAATATCCAGATCAATAAAGTTATTAGTGAAAATGAAAAATGTGTCTTTTATGTTACAGAAAAAACTGAATGGACTTTTTGGCCAACCTAATAAAATGTGATGGTACAGGCTTCAGAATCAGACAACTTGAGTTTGAATCCTATTTTTAATTTACCACCTACCAGCTTTGTGAGTTAGCAAGTTAGTTAATGTCTCTTAGCCTCAGTTTAATTATGTTTTAAAAAAAGATAGTAGTAGTACCTAACTTAAGGTGGGTTATAAAGATGAAATGAGGTAATAAATGTAAAGGACATGGAATAGTGCCTGGTATGTAATGAACATTTAATGTGTTGATCCCCAGTGTTAGAACTACATGTTGTCATATTGGAACTGCAAGTGGTAGTAGCAGTCGTTATTACCTTACATTTCAGTTATACATTGGATCTCTTTTAGCTCTTAATTAAGAGATTTTATTTTATAGTTGCAAATCTTCCCATGAAGAAAAATCCAGGATAAGATGAATTTATCATTGAAATCTATTGAACACTTAAAGAAGATGTAATAGCAGCTCTACACAGACTTTTTTAAGAAAGTAGGAGTGAGTACTTTCCAACTAATTTTATGAGACTACTATTACCCCAGTACCAAAACCAGAAAAAGATATTACAAGAAAAGAAACTATAGACTAGTCCCTCTTGAAAATAAACTCAAAAGTCCTTAACAAAATATAAACAAATCATATTCAACAATTTATGTAAAAGATAGTACATCATGACCAAATAGGGTTTATCACAGGAAGAAATTGGTTTGCCACTCAAATGCCAGTATAGTGCACCATACTAAAAAATAAAGAAAATGTTTTTAAGTCCTATAGAAAAGACATTTCACAGAATCCACTCCCCCCTTCATAATAAAAACTCAGCAAACTAGGAATAGAATGGAACTTCTTCAGCTGACAAAGGGCACCTTTGAAAAGAGTCTACAGCTAGCATCACACTTCATGCAAAAGATTCTTTGACTAAAATAGTTGCTAAAATTAAAAACTGACCATTCGTATGTTATCAGTGGCAGAGCTCCTGCAGGACATATTGCTGGTAAGAATAAGAAATGCTTAGGTACTTTAGAAAAGAGTTTGGCAATCTATTAAACATACACTTACCATATCATCCAGCAATTCCACTTTTAGGTATTTATCCAAGAGAAATGAATATATAGATTCAAACAGATATTAGTACAGGAAAGTTTCTAGGAGCTTTATAGTAATAGCTAAAAAGTAGAAGCAACCCAAATATTCATTATCAGATAAACAGATTTTGGTGTATCCATACAGTAGGATGTTACTTAGCACATAAAAGGAATTAATTAGTGATAAGTGTAATACCATGGGTGAATCTCCAAAGCGTCACACTATTCTAAAGAGGTAGACATGAAAGATAGGTATGATTTAATTTATAGGAAACTATAGAATGTACAGAGCATTGTTTGCCATGTGTAAGATTCTTTTCTTTTCTCACCTGAGGACATTTTTTCATTGCTTTTAGAGAGAGAGGAAGGGAGAGAAAGAAACATCGATGGGAGAGAGAAGCATTGATTAGTTGCCTCCCATGGGCACCCAGACTGGTGGTCATAGGTGCCCAGACGGGGAATTGAACCCACAACCCAGGCATATGCCCCAACCTAGAATTGAACCTGCAACCTTTCGGTTACGGGACGCTGCTCCAACCAACTGAGCCACACAGGCCAGGGCACCATGTGTAATGGTCTTGATTGGACTGCATTGGAAGCCTCAAGGGAACATTTTGGGGATAGTAAAAATGTTTTATATATTCATCATAGCGTTGGTTATGCACCTGTATATATTTTCAAAATTTATCAAACTGTACAGTAAAAATGTGTGCATTTTACTGCATATAAATGATACCTTAATAAAGTTGAAGGAAAAAATTGACATCCTCAGAAAACCTTAGAATTCTCTCCTAAAATATTCCTTGCATTCAGGGAAAATAAAAAGCCAAATGTATACATTAACATCTGTTTCTGCTTTTTATCACATATATTTGAAAAATTCTGGCATGGAATATTTTGGGGATCTGTATCTATAGACTAGCATATCATGATGTCTTAAGTAATTGAAAGCTATCTAGTAAAGTGTGTGGATTTATATGCTAGTATATTGAAGTGGAAGCATGGATTGTTAATCTGGATATGGGATGGGATTGTATTAGGTGCGGTATTGGTATTTCTGTAGATAAGGCATGATTACCTCTTTTGGAACTGAAACAAACTGATATTTCTATTTTTACAGGAAATAAATACAAGTTTCTTATTACTTTAGTGTCCTCAACAAAGATTTAATATTTGTTATTTCATTTTCTTAGGTTACAAGAGATGATAGTTTATTAAGTCATAAAAACATCAATGTTCAGGATGCTGCCACAAAAAGGTACAGTTTTGGTTAAACTGAATTAAGTGATTTTTTTTTCTTCTTTTCTGGGGCCCTTTTTTCCTCCTCTTCAGTCTATCACCACATGATTAGACTGAATTAAATGATATTCTTCTTAACTTTTTTCTGGCCTTTTTTCTTCTTTCCCAATCTATTACCACATGATTTCAGGATATCTGCTTGAAATACAGCTTGAATTCACTCTTCTTTCCATTATATAGCTGGTTAGTACCTAGTTTTAGATTATTTGAAGATAACTCCTAGTTAGTGTCTACATTCTCATTCTTCTTCAGCTGCTTTAAACTACAGAGTAAAAACAACTTTTACACATATTTTTTTTGAAGATTTTTATTTACTTTTTTTAGAGAGTGGGGAAGGGAAGGAGAAAGAGAGAGAGAGAAACATCTATTGGTTGCCCTGCAACCCAGGCATATGTACTCACTGAGAATCAAACTGGTGACCTTTTGGTTCACAGGCTGGTACTCAGCCTACTGAGCTACACCAGCCAAGCTGCAGGTATTTTTAATCTTATAAGGTACCTGGAAGGAATGTGTATTATTTCTCTTAAGTATATTGGTTAACTTCAGTGCCATCCTGTCTTCACAATGGCCTTGTTCTTACTCAAACATTTCTTTTACTATGGGTTCTTATATTCAAGCACATTTTTCTGCTTTTCTTTCAAAGCCCTGTTCTGCCTCTCTTTTCTTTAATAAGTATTATGCTATTTATTCATCTTGCTAGGTTTTTATTCCCTGCTGTATGCCAATTTGTTTGTTTCATCACTGTGTATCCAGTGTTCTGCGCTTAGTTGATGCTAAACAGTGTTGAATGAATGAATGAATGAATGCTGTTTTTTCCTCATTATAAACTTACTCAGTGGAGTGTTTTCTGATTAATTATATTTGGTTCCAGATACTGTAACGCACATAACACTTAAGAATATAGCAGGCTTTGTATACATACTAATTGGTGTGTCAGGGTAAAACTGGATTTTCAACTTAACCTCTAAATTCACTCCAGTAAATCAATTGACCCATCACATTTTAAATACTATTGTTATTATCAGAGCCTTTTAGAGTAACCTCATTACATTTCTTTTTTTGGCCAAGAGGAAGATAGTGGAGATAGAGCTTCCCAGTTTCATTGAACTCTTAAAGCTGGACAGAGCATAGAATGTACTCCAGTTTACTTCCAGATTTGTTTTTCTAAATGGCTGTTGATATTTTGAATAATCTTTTTCTGCTAGGATTTGAAATGTGTCCTTTAAAATAAGTTCCTGTTTATACTAAGTTCTTGTTTAATTTAAACATTGGTCTATTTCTGGACCTATTCCTCTTCTGTGAAACTGGTGTTTTTGTTTGTACCATACCACACTTTTAAAAAAGTTACTGTGTCCTCCTTTTAGAAATGAAATGTTTCAGTCATACAGAAAATTATAGAGATTATATAATATTTATCTGTGTACCAAATATCAAGTTTTATCCCACCTTCACATTTTGCTATTGCGGATTTAGACCAATTTTTCTTCTATCTTTTTATTGAGTTGTAATTCCCATTCCATAAAACTTAAAATTTATCTTTTAAAAGTATATAATTCAGTGCATTCTACTAAACTAACAAATTTTGCAACTATTACCACTGTCTAATTCCATAATATTGTCATCACCCCTCTGGTGGTAAAAAGAAACACCATACCCATTTGGTCTCCCCATACTCCTTCTCACCTCACCCCTGCCCCAGCTCCTACAACCACTATTCTATCATCTGCCTCTATTGGAATTGCCTACTCTGGACAGTTCTAATAAATGCAGTCTTACAATATGTGACTTTTGTGTCTGGCTTCTTTCATTTAACACAATATCTTCAAGGTTCATCCATATTGTAGTATGTATTGGTACTTCATCCTTTTTTATAGTGGAATAATATTCCATTGTATAAATATAACACATTGGCTATCATCTGTTGGACATTTATGTTGTTTCCACTTTTTGGCTATGATGAATAAAGCTGCTATGAGCATTCACACATAAGAATTTTTATAGACATGCATTCTTTTTTCTTATGGTGCCAATTTTAGTATTATTTAAAACATCACATTTTTCACTTTACTGTACAGTGCTTATAAAGTGCATTATTTCCTTTTCCTGTGCACATAGTCCATGTTCAGGTATCAAAAATGCTAGGTTATTTACTATACAGCAGCTCAACTTCTAAAACTGGCAAGGAATTTGCCACAAATTTGAGACCTTCAGTGTTTTGTGTGGAACAGTGCTAAGCCTGTGCTTAAGGTTCACTTCATCAGCCTCTTCAGTGGTGGACCATAGGAGGCACCATCAGATAGAGGGGCTCCACCACTAGTATGCACCACCCCCAGCATTCCTCCTACATTCTCATACAGCTTGGTACTGGTGGAGTTGCAGACTTTTTATGGCTCTTTCTGCTGATGTTCAACTTCTTCATTTTTTGTAGTCTGGTTCTTATCAAGCCAGTTGATTTAACTGCACTTACAAGAATCTTCTATTTGTCCTTATCATCAATCTTGCCTTGAAGTTTTTCATCTTCAACAGTTGCCTTCATGTTGAATGCATAGGATTCAAATGAATTCTTGGAAGATCTTAGAAGACACCTTGTCCCACTGCTTCTCATCTTCAGCTTTGTACTTCTCAGCTTCGTGGACCACAGGATCAATGTCTTCCTTTCTCAGATTCCCTTTGTTATCAGTGATGGTAATCTTGTTCTCTTTTCCTGTACTCTTATCCACAGCAGAGACATTGAGGATGCCATTGGCATCAGTATCAAAAGTGACTTCAATCTGAGGAACACAGCAAGGTGCACCAGGTATGCCTGTGAGTTCATACTTGCCAAGCAAGTTGTTATCCTCAGTAATGGCACACTCACCAGGCTGGTTGTCAGAGAAGGTAGTGAAGGTCTGTGTGTGCTTGGTAGGACTGGTACTGTTGCGCTTGACAAGGACAGTCACCAACAGTCTCCATGCCAAGGGAAAGAGGAGTATCATCCAACAGCAGCAAATCTTTAGCATTTTTGGATTTGTCTCCACAGAGGATGGCTGCCTGGACAGCTGCACCATAAGCAACTGTCCCATCAGCGCTGATGCTCTTATTCAACTATTTTCCATGAAAGAACTCCTGCAGGAGTTTATGAATCTTAGGGATACAGGTAAAACCATCTATGAGGACATCATGGACCTAGGACTTGTCAAGCTCGGCATCCTGAAGGGCTTTCTCTACATGATCCTAGGTGCCCTGGAAAAGGTCAGCATTCAGTTCTTCAAATTGGGCATGAGTGATGAAGTATAGAAGTTGATTCTTTCATAGAGAGAGTCAATCTCAGTACTGGCCTGGATGCTAGAAGAGAGAGAGTAGGCTTAGCATGTTCACAAGCAGTACAAAGGCAATGAACAGCCCTCTTGTTTTCACTGATGTCACTCTTACACTTGCCCTTGAACTCTGCAATAAAATAGTTGACCGTTTGGTTGCCAAAGTCTTCTCCACTGGAGTGCTCTTGGCTGTAGATTTGATCTCAAAGATTCCATCTTCAATTGTGAGAACTGAAACATCAAAAGTACCACATCCCAAGTCAAACATCAGCATGTTTCTTTCCAGTCCTGCTCCAACCTTTTTGTCAAATCTTTAAGCAACAAGAGTGGCAGTTGGCTCATTGATGATTCTAAGTACATTGAGACCAGCAATAGTTCCATCATCTTTGGTAGCCTGACGCTGAGAGTCATTGAAGTAGGCAGATACTGTGATGACAGCATTGGTAACAGTCTTTCCAAGGTAGGCTTCTGTGATTTCATCTTTGTCAAAACCATAGATGATACCTCTTATGGATAGAAACTTTTTGTCTCTCCTTTCTATTCTACTTGGACCTTGGGCCTGCCAGCATCATTCACCACCATGAAGGGCCAATGCATCATGTCAGATTGGACCAACAGCATTGTCAAATCAAGCTTTTGGCATCAAAGAACCATGTTGGTAGCATTCATTGCAACTTGATTCTTTGTAGCATCGCTGATTTAGTCATCCAGTATCAGTAAAATGACATAACTTGGAGTGGTTCATTTTCCCTGATTGTTAGCAATTATTCCCATTTTTCCATGCTAGAAGACACCCACGCAAGAGTAGGTGGTGCCAAGGTCAATGCCTACTGCAGGTCCCTTAAACATAGCTGCTTCAGTGCATGAAGGGCTTGCAAAGACCCAGATTGGATGCAACATCTATCCCCGCATTCAGCTCTCTTTAATATATACCCAGGAGGGATATTGCTGAATCATGTGATGACTCTATGTTTAATGTTCTGAGGAACTGCCAAACTGTCTTCCAAAACAGCTACAACATTTTCCATTCCCACCAGCAATGTACGAGAGGTCCAATTTCTCCATGTCCTTGCCAATGCTTATTATTCTCCACTTTTAAAATTATATTTATTCTAGTGAATATAAAGTGGTATCTCATTGAAGTTTTGATTTTCATTTACCTAAGGACTAAAGATTTTAAATATCTTTTCTTTGAAGAAATGTCTATTCAGATCATTTTTTTTAGTAACAGCTTTATTGATACTATAACTTCAAATACTATACAATTCACCCATTTAAAGTACACAGTTCAGGGTTTTTTTTTTACATATTTGTATTTTTAAAAGTTACCTCTGGTTCCTCATATTAACTGCCATTACGTAAGTAATAGCACTTAATTCATTGACACACTTTATTCATTCTTTAATTAATGGACAGATGTTTGTTCCAAGTTAACATTGTGTGTGCTCCTCTGTATACACACATGCTAGGAGGATTTTTTTTATCCTTACCCAGGGACATTTTTAAAATTGCTTTTAGGGAGAGAGGAAGAGAGAGAGAAACATCAATGTGAGAGATAAGCATCAATTGGCTGCCTCCTGTACACTACTGGACTGGGGATTATCTGCACCCAGACCAGAGATTGAACCCACAACCTAGGTATGTGCCCTGCTTGGGAATTGAACCTGCAACTTTTGAGTTGCTGCACAATGCTCTAACTGAGCCACACTGGCAAGGGCTGTTATGAGGATTATTTAAGGTTTGTACCTAGGAGTGGAATGGATGCAGAAACTTTTCCTCTGCTTCTTTCCATGTTTGGCAACAGTGTAAACTACTTGGGACTAATCTTTTGTCCAAGAGTTGTGAGAATTCATTGTAAAACATACTTCACTTCTTTTAATGCTCACTGTTTCTTATATCAGCTCCTTTTGTCTGAACTGTTTCTTCTTTCCAAAGCACAAAGTCATTTTTTCCCCTTGGTAACCTTTAGGTTTTACTTCTTATTCCTGAGGTTCTGCAGTTTCATTACTATATGCCTAAGACTAGGTTTATTTTTAAAATTCTTGTTGGTATTCAAGGTGATCTTTCAATCTGAAGACCTGTGTCTTTTTTCAGTTCTGGAAAATCATAAGCCATTATTTTTTTTTTGAATATCCATTAGTTGAAATATCTTCTGTGTTTCTCATAACTATTCTTTCTTTTTATCTCTTTGCCTCTATTTGCCTCAGTACTATGGATTCAACAGTACTAGCTTTCACTTCACTAATTACGTCTGACTTTTCCAATCTAGGATTTATCTCTTGTTTTTCTCAACCTCCTTGTAGGATTGGACAGAAGTGCTCCTATTATTTGCACACTTTTCAGTGATACTGGAGAGGACTGGGATTTCCTGCTGGATGATGACCTTTGGCTGTACATTTCCCGCTTCTCTCCCTGGTGTTTAATCTGTCTATAAGACTGCTACTATTCGTGTTCTTATCTGGGGTTAGACCCCCTTGTCATTACTGCCGGGCCTACAAGTAATATATTCTCTGGCATCCTCTCACCTGGTTGGTCCTGTTGTAACAGCTAGAGCATTCTAGGTGTTGCTTCTTTCTCAGCAGAGGTCTCCAACCTGTGTCCTTAAGTGGGGGCTTCTTATGTTTCCTAGCAGTTCTCCCATATCTCAGGTATTCTGTATAATTTTTGTTCCACTGAGCTTTCTCATTTGTGTCTTTGATAACAGCTTTTAAAAATCAATCTATTGATCTGTCTTTTTTTATAACTGCCTTTCTTTTCAAGATATTTTTCTTTTCAGAAATCTTTTCTGTCGTTTTAGTGAGATTTAGGAGGGAAACTAGCCCACACTTTGATCAATCTGTGAGTGAGTCTAACTTGGATTTGAAACTGTTATGTGGTGGGTGGGAAACGGTTTCACAAAACATATAAGTATGACCTTGACTGCTATCATGCTCCTCACAAATTATAATTTCTTATTCTCCCAATGAATTTGTTATACTTCTTTCCCAAACCCTTTCTTTGAAAATACTGCCTATACCCATATAGGTCCTCCATGATATGAATTTATATTTTCTTCCCAGTTCTGTATTAAATGAGAATCATATGCCCCTCCCTGAAGATTCTCTTGCTCCAGTGCACACCACACCTGCAGGAAGTGGTTCTGTTCTAAAGGTAACAATACTTTTACTTCTTAAGCTTTCCCCAAAGACCATACTGAATTGAATCGTGTAGTACAACCATGGGCATCTGGTGATTTCTGATTCACACCAGAACCTAAGTCATGAGAAAAGCATTGAGCCTGAATTCTTTAGGAAGAGTCCTATTGTCAAATCCCTCACAATAAGATGTAAGGGATTTTTCTCCAGTTTTTATATTATTTGTTGGTACTTTGGGGTTTGGATGGCCTTTGTATTTTTTTTTTGGATGCTGTCAGTACTTCCCTAGTGTCTCAAACTATACATGACACATAGTAGACACTAATTATTTATTCAGAAATAAACTTTCTGAAATAGCAGCAACCTGTCATCGCGTTGCAGTGTAACCAGCTCATCACACCTGCCACACCCTCACCAGTTCAGACATCATAAAACCTAGTTCACTGCCCAGTGAGTGTTTTAATTTGCAAGTTAAATGAAAAATTGTAAATGAACACTTACCTTTATGCTTTTTTATTGTGTAAGGACATTTATTGTAGAAATTTACCAACTATTTCAAAAAAGGAAAAAGTAGAAATCAATATATTCTTCCCACTACCCAAAAATAGTCTAGTTATCATTGAGGTGTATGATTTTTCAGAATTTTGGATTAAAAAGTGAAACAACCAAGAGCTTTCTTTCTGCTAATTAGAATTCTAAACAGATATATTGACATCTTTGACTAATCGTTGAAAATGTTAGGTGGAACTTGAGACTTTTTGGAATAGAGAAGGACATTTAGTTAAAAGATTTGTGCATATGTAATATATACTAGACATCATGCTAGGCTTTGGAAATTAAAATTGAATGAAACATGGTTTCTTTTGGCTTATAGTCCACTGGGAGGGAGAATTTTAATACATGCAGCAGAAGTCTACACAGGCTGTTTTGGAGCATTCACCCAGGCCACAGGGTGGGAGGCATGGGTTAGGAGGAGGGAGATGAAGAAAACAGAGAACAATTTTTTCCATTGTGTGATAAAAACTGAATATTGAAACATGAACAGGAAATTCACCATGGCCTGAAAGTGGGTGGATAGAAATGGAATTGTATAAATGAAAGGCTTTTTTGTTATGTACTATACCTTAGATGCTTATGTCCCTTATTTCCAGGTTGGAATTTTATCTTTTGTACTTTTAAAATTCTTTCTGTCCCTACAAACAACACACATACGAACATGCACATGTGCACACACACTCTGCAGTACAGAGCTACATCTTCCATAAAGTGCCTCAAATAATAATTAAACAAAAGTGTTCATTAAAATTTATGGGAGAAGTTCATATTGTCCTCTTTTTCAAACAGTGAAGCTTCCATACATCTGGATAAAGAAGCATCTCCTTTAAAAAAAAGAGAGAGAGAAGAGGAAGCATCTCCTTACTCACCTGTCTTCTGTGCTGAACTTTCTACCTCTCTCTTCTAGTCTAAGAGCCTGACAGTCTTAACCCTACCCAAGTTTTGTCTCACCAAAAGGAATAGTAACTGCAAATTCACATAACAGCTAGCTTTTTCATGTTCTGATTGTAGTCTAGGTTCCCCTCCAAGCAAAAGTGGAATCCATAACAACCATGATTCCTGAATGTCCCTGTTTGTTTAAAGTTTAGCACCAGTTAAGCCTGGTCAGAATTATAAATTGAAAGGATGTGATAAAAATTTATCTGATGATTGATTAGTGGGTCATTTAACAACTGTATATACTTTGTCTCCATAGGATGCTGCAGATGAATTGGATGCTTTGCTTTTATCTCTAACCGAGAACCTAATTGACCACACAGTCATACCTCAGGTAAATATGCTTTAAAACAGCAAATGGAAAGGAATTTCTGTTTTGAAAATGTTGCCACTATATTCCAATTTTTGCCTTTTTTTACTATTTAGTAAAACCTCTTAATAAGAGCTCATATTTCAGTAACCACTTAGCATTGCCTTCTGTGCTGTAGAATTCTACCAGTTTGAATGTGTGGCACCCTGCAGTGTGTCACTACAATAAGCCTATGTGTAATTCAACACCATACTGTAAATAACAGAGGAAATGTGATGACAACCCAGTTTCAAAAGAGTTAAGACAATAAGGACATGTTTAATTTTTTAAAAAATTTACAGAAAGCTGGGAGCCTAAGAATGGGTGGCATTGAACATATTGATCATTGTTGCAGTATGGGAGATGCCATGTGCAGTACTGTGACCATAATACAATAGTTCCTTTACCTCTGAGACTTAAAATCTTGTTGGATGAAAGGTAACAGATAACTCATTTAGTGCCTTATGAGTAATATGACAGGAGTTTCTGTATCATTCCAAAGGCATGGAGGTACAGATGGTACTTTTTATGGTGCTGAATGTTTGCTTAGATCTTTAGTTCTCAAACTTGGATGTGGAACAGAATCACCTGCAGGTAATTAAAACACAGACTGCTAGATTCTACCCTCATTTGGTAAATGTAGGGTGGGGCCTATTACATCTTTCATATTTAGGATTTTAACCCATTTGAACAGGTTGAGTGTTGGGGGGAAGGGATATCAATTGTGGTTTTGATATAACCCAACTATGTATTTTATCCATATAAAAAGCCCATTTTCTAAATATAATCTGCTAAATAATCCATCCTTTCCCAATTGGTTTGCTATTAATTTTTCTGTTCTTTTTCATTGGGTTCTATCTTTGTTGTTTAGGTTTTTTATTGGGATAAAATTGGTATACAAGATTATATATATTTCAGGGATATAACCTTATAACTCAATATTTGTATATAGCAGTGCCACCCACCTTATCTGCAGTTTCAGTTGTCCATGGTTTCAGTTACCCACAGTCAGTCATGGTCCAAAAATGTAAAATGGAAAATTCCAGAAATAAACAGTTTATGAGTTTTAAATTACATGCCATTCTGAGTAGTGTGATGAAATCTTGTTCCATCCCTCTCCATCCTGCCTGGGACCTGAATCATCGTTATCCAACAGATTCATTCACATAGTTGCTGGCCATCTCTTTTTCTGCTCCAGTAGTATTGTGTTTTTATTTTTCTAGCTTTGTAATCTATTCCTTTTTAAAAAATATATATTTTATTTATTATGCTATTACAGTTGTTCCATTTCCCCCCTCTTTATTCCCCTCTACCCTGCACTCCCCCTCCCACCTGCATTCCCCTCCTCCCTTAGTTCATGTCCATGGGTCATACATATGAATTCTTTGGCTTCCGCATTTCCTATACTATTCTTAACCTACTCCTGTCTATTTTGTACCTACCATTTATGCTTCTTATTCCCTGTACCTTTTCCCCCATTCTCTCCCCTCTTCTTCTCTGCTGATAACCTTCCATGTGATTTCCATTTCTCTGATTTTGTTCCTGTTATAGTTGTTTGCTTAGTACATTTTGGGTTTTTGGTTTTGTGTTTTTTTTAGCTTTGGTTGTTGATAGTTGTGAGTTTTTGTCATTTTACTGTTCAAGTTTTTGATCACCATCTTTTTCTTAGCTGAGTCCCTTTAACATTTCATATAATAAGGGCTTGGTGATGATGAACTCCTTTAACTTGACCTTATCTGAAAAGTACTTTATCTGCTTTTCCATTGTAAATAAAAGTTTTGCTGGATAAAGTAATCTTGGATGTAGGTCCTTGCCTTTCCTGACTTTGGATCCTTCTTGCCAGCCCCTTGTTGGCTACAAGGTTTCTTTTGAGAAAACAGCTGCTAGTCTTATGGGAATTCCTTTGTAGGAAACTGTCTCCTTTTATCTTGCTGCTTTTAAGATTCTCTCCTTATCTTTAATCTTACATAATGTAATTATGATGTGTCTTTGTGTGTCCCTCTTTGGGTCCAACTTGTTTGGGACTCTCTGGCCTTTCTGGATTTCCTAGAAGTCTATTTCCTTTGCCAGATTAGGGAAGTTCTCCTTTATTATGTTTTCAAATAAGTTTTCAATTTCTTGTTCTTCCTCTTCTTGTTTCTTCATTCTGTTCTGGTGGAATGTCCATTTCTTCTTTCTGTGCCAATTGTTGATCTGAGTCCTGATTCCCTTGCCTTCACTCTTGGTTCCCTGTACATTTCTCTTCATTTCACTCTCCAATAAGCTTCACTTTTTCCTCTATTTTGCGACCATACTGAACCATTTCCGTGAGCATCCTGATTACCAGTGTTTTGAACTATACATCTCATAGGTTGGCTGTCTCTTCATCACTTACTTCTGTTTTTGGAACTTTGATCTGTTCTTACATTAGGGCCATAATTTTTTGTCTCTGCACAGCTGTTATGTAGTAAGGGGCGGAGCCTTAGGTATTCATCAGGGTGGGGCAACCTACATCACGGGGTTGTGGCTCTTTTGTGGGGGAGGGGTCTGAGAGAAACAATGATACTTGCTGGGCTCTCTGCTGACTTTATATTGGGCCCTTCTGGTGCTGATTGCTGAGTGGATGAGTTTATGTATGTTCTAGGACCCTGTAGGTCTCTCCAACAAACTCTCCTGTGAGGCTGGGAGTTTCTCCCACCATTGCCACCCCCACAGATTTTTACCTCCAGAGGTTTTGAGGCTTTCATTTCCTGAACTGGAATGCTGGGTTGCATGGTTTGTGTCACTCTCCAGATGTTCTCCCCGGTTACACGCACACAAAATGTGGAACCACCATACTCACCTGCCGCCTCACTGAGAGTCCTCTCCACTCTGGCTGCCCATCTCTGCCCCTCCTGCTGGTCTGGATGAATGTTTTTTCTTTAACTTCTTGGTTGTTGGACTTCCATACAGTTAGATTTTATGGCAGTTCTGGTTATTTTTTGTTTATAAATTTATTGTTGTCCTTCTTTTCGTTGCGTGAGGATGCAAAGTATATCTCTGTAATCTATTATAATATCTAATATATCTTTACTTATAAATTTTAGTATCAGTGTGTCAGATTGTCCCCCCAAATCTACCTACACTTTAATGGAATCTGTATTAAATTTATAGATTATAAAAACTTGCATTTTAAAATATCTTTTCCTTTTCACTAACTTGATATATATCTCTAATTTCTAATCTTTGAGTTCCTAAATTTTCTCTGTATGTCTTCTGTATTCTTTGTTATTGTTAAATTCTAAATATAATTTTATTGATATTGTGATATTTAACTTTTACTATTAAATTAATAGGTTGGTTTTGTGTCTAGCAGATGTGCTGAATACTTTTATTGCTAATATGCTGATTCTCTTGAATATTCAGTCAGCTTCTAGGGTGTTCTTAGTATCTGTCTACAATACTAATTCATTTCTCACGTGTTGCTAGATCTGTTAATTTTTGTCTTGCATATTTTGAATATATGCTATAAGGTGCATATATGTTGATATAATTATAATTTCTTAAGTTCCTTTAACCACTCTAAAGGGTCCTTTTGCTCCTTTTTTCTTCTCTTAATTTCCCTTTAGATTGGTAAAACATTGACACCCTAGCTTTCTTTTTTTAATATATTTTATTGATTATGCTATTACAGTTGTTCCATTTTTTCCCCTTCACACCCTTCTACCCTGCGCACTCTCTCCCACCCAAATTTCCCCCCTTTAGTTCATGTCCATGTGTCATACAAGTTCTTTAGCTTCTACATTTTCCATGCTACTCTTGCCCTCCCCGTTTCTATTTTTTACCTACCTTCTATGCTACTTGTTCTCTGTACCTTTTCCCATCTCTTTCCTCCTCCCACTCCCCTGTTGCTAACCCTTCCTGTGATCTCCATTTCTGTGGTTCTGTTCCTGTTCTAGTTGTTTGCTTAGTTTGTTTTTGTTTTTGTTTTAGGTATGGTTTGTTAGGTAGTAATTGTGAGTTTGCTGTCATTTTACTGTACATGATTTTTATCTTCTTAGATAAGTCCCTTTAACATTTCATAAAATAAGGGCTTGGTGATGATGAACTCCTTTAACTTGATCTTATCTGGGAAGCACTTGATCTGCCCTTCCATTCTAAATGAAAGCTTTGCTGGATAGAGTAATCTTGGATGTAGGTCCTTGCCTTTCATGACTTGGAATACTTCTTTCCAGCCCCTTCTTGTTTGTAACATCTTTTTTTGAGAAATCAGCTGAAAGTCTGATGGGAACTCCTTTGTGGGTGACTGTCTCCTTATCTATGCTGCTTCTAGGATTGTCTCCTTCATTTAACCTTCGTTAATGAAATGATGATGTGCCTTGGTGTTTTCCTCCTTGGGTCCAAGTGTTTTGAGACTCTCTGAGCTTCCTGGACTTCCTGGAAGACTATTTCCTTTGCCAGAATGGGGAAGTTCTTCTTTATTATTTGTTCAAATAACTTTTCCATTGTTGCTCTTCCTCTTCTCCTTCTGGTACCCCTATAATTTGAATGTTGGAATGTTTAAAGATGTCTTGGAGGTTCCTAAGCCTCTCCTCATTTTTTTGAATTCTTGTTTCTTCATTCTTTTCTGTTCGGTTGTTCCTTTCTTCCTTCTGGTCCACTCCATTGGTTTGAGTCCGAGTTTCCTTCCCATCACCGTTGGTTCCTTGTATATTTTCCTTTATTTCACTTAATGTAACCTTCATTTTTTCATCGAATTTGAGACCAAATTCAGCCAATTGTGTGAGCATCCTGATCACCAGTGCTTTGAACTATTCCTCTGATAGGTTGGCTAACTCTTTGTAGCTTAGTTGTATTTGTTCTGGAGCTTCGATCTGTTCTTTTGTTTGGGTCATTTTTTTTGTCTTGATGCACCTGTTACATAGTGAGGGGCAGGGCCTTAGGTGTTCACCAGGGCAGGGTAACCCAGTCCCTGGGTTGTGACACTGTATGTGGGGCAGGGTCTGAGAGGGAACAATGGTGCTTGCTCTGCTGTCTGCCAGATTTCAGTCACTTCTTCCGTGTCCCCCAAGTAAACTGGGCCCTTCTGGTACTGATTCCCATGTGGGTGGGTTTGTGCATGTTCTAGGACCCTGTGGGTCTCTCCAACGAGCTCTCCTGTAAGGCTGGGAGTTTCTCCCAGCACCTCAACCCCCACAGATGTTTTCAATTGGTGTTTTGAGGCTTTATTTCCCCGTGCTGGAACCCTGGGTTGTGCGGTCTGTCTCGCTCCCCATTTTTGCCTGGTTTATCTGAACAGGAATGTGGGACCACCTGATCCACCAGCCACCGTGTACTCTGCTCCCTGTTCCCCAATCTGCTGCCTCACTGGGTCCGCCCACTGCCACCCCGAGCAACTGGGGCTGCCAGCTGCTACCTTGCACCTGGGTTTTGCCAGCCACCACTTTTTTTGCCGTGACCACTCTCCGTCCGGCCACCTGACTCCACCCCTCCTACTGGTATGGATGAATGTTTCTACTTTAACTCCTTGGTTGTTGGATTTCCATGCAGTTCAATTTTCTGTCAGTACTGGTTGTTTTTTTGTTTCTCAGTTTTTGTTGTCCTTATTTTGGTTGTGCGAGGAGGCACAGTGTGTCTACCTACACCTCCATCTTGGCTAGACGTCTGGATTTCCTAGCTTTCTTTTAAGTTTGTATTGCCTAATATATAGTTTTCTGTCCTTTTATTTTTAATCTTTCTGGATCTGTTGGTTTTAAATGGGCCTTTTGTGAACAATATTTTGCTGGATCTTGTTTTCAAAATATTTTTGAGTCTCTGTTCTCTGATTGAGTTTAACCCACTTATGTTTACTTTAAGTATGGTAATTATAGGACCTGTTTCTGCCAAACCATTTTTTGTTTATTTATCTTCTTTTCTCTCTCTTTTATGTCCTGTGGTAAAAGTCCATTTTCTAATATTCTTGGGAAAATCATACTTTGTAATTTTATTCCTCTGATGATTACCCAACTCATTAAGATCTAGATTTATATTGATTTTTTTTATCAGAAGACTGTCTAAGACTATCAGTGCAAAGGCTAGTCTAAGTTTCCATGAAGTGGAGGAGTTTATTAGCTTATAATTCTACAAATAAAAGTAAGATCTAGAAAATTAAATGTTAAAGTGAATCTAAAAAGGACCCTATGAAGCAGAACCAACGTGGGTGTTCTTATTGCTGTTACCTGTACACATACATAGTAATTTGAGAATGACCTGTATGTAAACAAATGTTTTTTTGTGTGTGTATGTTTTGTGTTACTAATTTTGATTTTAACAGCCCGTTCTTCAGAATTCTACTAAGAAGGCTATGATTTGTAATTAACTACAATTTCAGAAAATAAAATGTTAAATTGATGCTTCAGTGGGGAAAAGTCCTATGAAATGAACTGAAAGTAGAGGCAGCCCCCAGTCTAGTCAAAACCGACAGATTCAGTTCTTAGAGAACAAGGTCTGCTCTCTCTCTCTGGAACTGGAGACCCAGAGTTCCACACAGAGAAGCACATGCCACTGTCCTCCAATTGCTACCAAGCTGGGAGCAGAATGGGAACAGAAAGTACATGGGAGGTGTGAACACCAGTATACCTGCTGGAAGAGGAAACCCACCAACAAATGAACCACCAACAGATAACAACATAAGATGGTGAAAGAGTGAGTGGAAGCCACACTAACCTCCATCCAGGACCAATTTGGAAATACAACTGAATGGTGAAGAAATTACCCAGAATAAACAACTGAACAGTAGCAAGAGAGAAGTCTCAAAACCTCGTACAGACAGAAGAATATGTTTCAACACAACCTGTCCACACCTGTATAATAGAATACACAACGTGGTGGATGGAGTGAGCTTCAGTTAACCAGCTGGAGGGAAGGACCCACCAACAACAAACAAAATCCAAAGACATACAGAGAGACCACATAAACAACAGCCGAAGACCAGCAAGCTCAGGAGATCAAGGAGACTGCACTACTGAATCTCACAGGTCTTCTGCCATAGAAGTTCACACCATACACCCAAGGAGTAGAACAGATCACAACAAAGACACAACAAAGAAAGAAGACTTCAGGCCAATATCGCTGATAAACATAGACACTAAATTCCTCAACAAAATATTGGCAAATCATATATAGGAGTACATTACAAAGATCATACACCATGATCAAGTGAGAAACATCCCAGGGATGCAAGGATGGTACAATATTTGCAAATCAATAAACGTAATATATTACATAAAATGAAAGACAAAAATCACATGATCATATCAATAGATGCAGAAAAGGCATTTGATATAAGGTACAGCACCCATTTATAATAAAAACACTTAGCAAAGTGGGAATAGAGGGAGGATTCCTTAACATAATAAAGGCCATATACAGGAGATCTACAGCCAACATCATACTCAATGGACAAAAACTTAAGAGTTTTCTCACTAAGATCAGGAACAAGACAAGGATGCCTGATTTCACCACTCCCATTCAACATAGTATTGGATATCTTTGCCACAGCAATCAGACAAGAAAAAGAAATAAAAGGCATCCAAATTGGAAAAGAGGAAGCAAAATGTCATTGTTTGTAGATGACATGATAGTGTACATAGGAAATTCTATAGACTCCACAAAAAACCACTTGACCTAATAAGTGAATTTGGCAAAGCAGCGGGATACAAAGTCAATATTCAGAAATCAAAGGCATTTTTGAACACCAACTATGAAATATCAGAAACAGAAATCAGGGGGAAAATGCTATTTGATATAGCAAAAAGAAAAATAAAGTACCTAGGAATAAACCTAACCAAAGAAGTAAAAGAGCTGTACTCAGAAAACTACACAACACTGAAGAAAGAAATTAAGGAAGACACAAATAAATGGAAGCATGTACTATGCTCATGGATTGGAAGAAGTAGCATCATCAAAATGTCCATACTACCCAAAGAAATTTATACATTCAATGCAATCCCTATTAAAGTATCAATGACAGATATAGAACAAACACTTCAAAAATTTATATGGGACTATAAATGACCTCAAATAACTGCAGCAATTTTGAGAAAGAAGAACAAAGTAGGAGGGATCACAGTTCCTGATATCAAACTGATTACAAGGCCACAGTAATCAAAACAGCCTGGTACTGGCATAAGAACAAACACATAGACCAATGGAACAGAACAGAGAGCCCAGAAATAAACCCAAGTCTCTATGGCCAATTAATATTCAACAAAGTGGGAAGAAGCATAAAATGGAGTAAAAATAGCCTCTTCAACAAATGGTGTTGGGAGACTCTGGATGGCTACATGCAAAACAATGGAACTTAATCTACAACTTACACCATACACAAAAATAAGTTCAAAGTAGATAAAAGACTTTTAAATATAAGTTGTGACACCATAAAAGTCCTAGAGGAAAACATAGGCAGGAAAATCTCAGACATTTTATGCAGCAACATCTTCGCTGATATGTCCCCTAAAGCAAGGGACGCAAAGGAAAGAATATACAAATGGGACCTCATCAAATTAAAAGGCTTCTGCATTACTAAAGAAAACATTAAAATGAAAAAAGAACCAACTATATGGGAAAACATATTTGCCAATGATACCTCGGACAAGGGTTTGATCTCCAAAATATGTAAAGAACTCACACAACTCCACTTCAGGAAAACAAAAAAAAAATTTTAAAATGGGCAAAATACTTGATCATACACTTCTCCAAAGAGGACATACAGAGGGCCCAGAGACATATGAAAAGATGCTCAGCATTATTAGCCATCAGAGAGATGCAAATTAAAACCACAATGAGATACCACTTCACACCAGTCAGAATGGCCATCATAAACAAATCAACAAGTGTCAGAGAGGATGTGGAGAAAAGGGAACCCTAGAGCACTGTTGGTAGGAATGCAGACTGGTGCAGCCACTATGGAAAACAGTATGGAATTGCCTCAAAAGACTAAAAATGCAACTGGCTTTTGACCCAGCAGTTCCACTGCTAGGATCATATCCTATGCACCCTGAAACACCAATCCAAAAGAACCTATGCACCCCAATGTTCATAGCAGCACAATTTACAATAGTCAAGTACTAGAAGCAACCTAAGTGCCCATCAGTAAATGAGTGGAGCAGAAAACTATGGCACATTTACACAATGGAATTCTATGCAGCAAAGAGAAAGAAGGAGCTCCTACCCTTTGCAACAGCATGGATGGAACTGGAGAGCATTATGCTAAGTGAAATAAGCCAAGTGGTGTGGGACAAATACCATATGATTTCACCTTTAACTGAACCTAATCAACAAAAGAAAGAAGCAAGCAAAATGTAACCAGAGACATTGAAATTAAGAACAATCTCAGTAACTATAGGGGAGGTGGTAGGGGATAACGGGGGGAAAGGGTTGTCAGGAACATGTTTAAAGGACACATAGACAGATCCAAGGGGTGGGGTGAAAGCAAGGGAGGGAGGTGGGTTTGGCTGAGGTGGGGGGGTAAATGCAGATACTGTAATTGAACAACAATAAAATAATTACACATAGATTAAAAAATAAATGAACTGAAAGTAGTAGTGTTCTTGTAGTAGTAAATTTTTAAAGAGAGCCTCAAAATTATGACAGTCTTTTAAGTAGTGAGGTATGGTATCTGTGTTGTAGGAAAGGTTCATGGATTAAGTTCCTGTCAGCTCAAAGGGACCATTAAGAACTACCTCCTGCAATGCATTTCATAGTAGAAGAAAGCATGATAAGTATAATTATGAAAATAACTGTGTTCCCTAAAAATAAATACATATATAAAATTTATTTTAGGTACCTTCAACATCCAAGTTCACACCCCTGTGGATTGTGCCAGTAAGTTGATATTTATAATTTTTCTATTGGTTACCCTTTCAGAGTAAGGCCTAAAGGATTACCAGGCTCTTGTATTTCTTTAAAAACAAGGGGTTGTTACCAAAGTTCTCTTAACTGATTTAATGGCTCCAAACTAGTGATTTAACTTTTCTGTTCGTAAATGCTTACAGATGATGACAAAAGTAGAAACAAAAATCTGAAGGGAAGAATGGTTAAAGACAAACCACAACAATCATGATCATCAATATTATCTTCCTTATTACCATGCTCATTAGGGGAAATGACAGATGTCACACTGAAGTGCTGACCCTTGGATAAGTATTGTCACCTCTACTCACACATGTTGTATGTCTCCTCAGCAGTGTGGTGTCCTTTCTAATGGACTCACAGGAAATGGACCATCCTTGATGGAGAGTGAGGGACATGGTAATAGAGATGGAATCTCACTGATCTCTCCCCCAGCACCATTCTTGGTGGATGCTGTTACCAGGTGAGGAAATTTTCTTTTTCCTTAAGTGTATTTTATTGATTATGCTTTACAGTTTTCCCAATTTTCCCTCTTCTTTCCTCATCTGCCCTGTATCCCTTAACCCCCCAGCATCCCTCCTCCCCTTAGTTCATGTCCATGGGTTGTACATATAAGTTCTTTGAACTCTCTCTTTCCTATACCATTTTTGATCTCTCCCCATCTATATCATACCTAACAATTATGCTTCTTATTCCCTGTACCTTTTCCCTCCATTCCTTCCCTCCCCCTCCCCACTGAAAACCCTCCATGTGATGTCCGTTTCTCTGATTCTGTTCCTGTTTTAGTTGTTTGCTTAGTTTTTGTTTTCATTGTTTTTCTTTTTTTTTAAGTTCAGTTGTTGATAATTGTGATTTGTTGTCATTTTACCATTCAAGTTTTTGATCTTCTTCAATTTCTTAGATAAGTTCCTTTAACATTTCATGTAATAATGGCTTGGTGATGATGAACTCCTTTAACTTGATCTTATCTGGGAAGCATTTTATCTGCCCTTCCATTCTAAATGATAGCTTTGCTGGATAGAGTAAATCTTGGATGTAGTTCCTTGCCTTTCGTCACTTGGTGTACTTCTTTCCAGCCCCTTCTTGCCTGCAAGGTTTCTTTTGAGAAGTAGGCTGATAGTCTTATGGACAGTCCCTTGTAAGTAACTGTCTCCTTTATTCTCACTGCTTTTAAGATTCTCTCTTTATCTTTAATCTTGAGTAACTTAATGATGATGTTCCTTGGTGTGTTCCTCTTTGGGTCCAACTTCTTTGAGACTCTCTGGGCTTCCTGGGCTTCCTGGAAGTCTGTTTCCTTTGCCAGACTGGGGAATTTTTTCTTCATTATTTGTTCAAATAAGTTTTCAATTTCTTGTTATTGTTTTTCTCCTTCTGGCACCCCTATAATTCAGATATTGGAATATTCAAACTTGTCCTAGAGGTTCCTAAGCTTCTCTTCATTTTTTTGAATTCTTGTTTCTTCATTGTGTTCCAGTTGGATGTTTATTTCTTCCTTTTGTTCCAAATCATTGATATGAGTCCTGGTTTCCTTCCTGTCACTTTTGGTTCCCTGAATATTTTGCTCTATTCACTTTGAGTATCCTTCATTTGTTCTTTCATTTTGCCACCAAGTTCAAACAGTTCTGTGAGCATATCAGTTATCTGAGCATACTGATTACCAGGGCTTTGAACTCTCCATCAGATAGGTTGGCTATCTCCTCATCATTTAGCTCTCTTTCTGGAGTTTTGCTGTTTTTTCATTTGGGCCCTATTTCTTTGTCTCAGCACACCTGTTAAATTGTAAGGGGGCAGGGCCTTAGGTATTCACCAAGGCAGGGTGATCCTCCTTACTGCGCTGTGCTGTGGCGCTGTCTGTGGGGGAGGCACCAGAGAGGAAACAATGACACTTCACTTTCTCTACTCTAGCCCCACTTTCCAGTGAACCCTTGTGTGAGACTGGGAATTTCTCTCACTGTGGCAACCCCTGCCATAGTCCACAGTCAGCTCTCAGTCTCAGTTTCCCGTTCAGCTAGCCCTGGCCCTGAGGTCTGTCACCTTGCTGCCAGTTCTCTCCGTCCGCCTATCTTACCAGTCTGGTTGGTCTGGTTGACTGTTTCTCTAATTCCTTGATTGTTGGAGTTCCATGCAATTTGATTTTCTGGCACTTCTGGTTGTTTATTGATTTTAGATTGGTTGTTATCCTGCTTTTGGTTGTGTGAGGAATTGAAGGGCTTCTACCTATACCTCCATCTTGGCCGGACCTCAGGAAATTTTCTCAACTGCAGTTTGTAGATATTTGTTAGTAGGAAAAATAAAATGAAATATATTTAATGAAATAATGTCAACTCTTTTTTAATTCAACCTAATTGAAACTGGATAACTCTTTTTCTCTATTACTAGAATAGTTTTCTTTTTTCTTGTCAGTAACAATTTTCTACAAAATTATCAAGTAGACCTTATTATGGTTTTTTAATGAAGTCTTTTTTTTAAAGATATTATTTATTTACTTTTAGAGAGGGGAAGGGAGGGAGACATAGAGGGAAAGAAACATCAATGTGTGGTTGCCTCTTGTGTGCCCCCATGTGCCCTGCCTGGGAGTGGAACCAGCGACCCTTTGGTTTGCAGGCCAGCACTCAATCCACTGAACCATACCAGCCAGGGCTAATGAAGTCTCTGTTAGATAAAAATGTTACAGTTCTATCTTTTAGAATTTATATTTCTTTTTTAATTGATTTGTATTTTCCTTTCATTCTTTACTATTATGTTATCTGTCAATAAGTTGAAGAGGGACAGCTAAGGGTGAGGTAGGAGATTCCCAAGGTGAGGCTCTGAGATAGCCTTGACTGAAATCTGCTGCACACTCATTTCAACGTAGCATTTGCCACAAAGAAAAATTGGACTCAATGATCATCACAAAAGCTGTAATTGTGTTTTGGATAGGACAGTTGTCAGGGGAAGGGCCAAATCAAGAGATGTATACAGTAGGGAAGTGGGTGCTTGGTAGAGTGTTTCTGGCACTAACAATGTCTATTCCTTCAACTTGGTTATATGGGAGATATATTATATAACATATTATACTTGCATGTAAATTTTACAGTTTAAAAAATCTGAAAATAAAATTTATCAAATAAAAACAAACCAACAAACAAGTATTGGAGAGGTTGTGGAGAAAAGGGAACCCTAGTGCACTGTTGGTGGGAATGCAGACTGGTGCAGCCACTGTGGAAAACAGTATGGAATTTCCTCAGAAAACTAAAAATAGAACTGCCTTTTACCCAGCAATTCCACTGCTGGGACTATACCCTAAGAACCCTGAAACACCAATTCAAAAGAACCTATGCACCCCAATGCTCACAGCATCACAATTTACAATAGCCAAATGCTAGGCGCAACCTAAGTGCCCATCATAAAATGAATGGATAAAAAAAATATGGTACATTTACATGATGGAATACTATGCAGCAGAAAAGAAGAAGGAGCTCCTACCCTTCATCACAGCATGGATGGATCTGGAGAGCATTGTGCTAAGTGAAATGAACCAGGTGGTGAAGGACAAATACCATATGATCTCACCTTTAGCAGGAACCTAATCAACAAACCAAAAAGCAAAATATAACCAAAGACACTGAAATACAGGACAGGCTGACAGTGACCAGAGGGGAGAGAAGAGGGAATTTCAGGGGAGAATGGGAAGGTTTACAGGAACAAATTTAAAGGACACATGGACAAAAACTAGGGGGAAGGTGGTAATGGGAGGGAAATGGGGAGGGATGGGTGCATGGGCTGGAATGGGAGTAAAAGGGAGAAAACTGTACTTGAACAATGATTTTAAAAAAAAAGAAAATTTAAAAAAAGAAAGACAAATACCATATGATCTCACCTATAAGTGGAACCTAATCAACAAAACAAACAAGCAAGCAAAATATAACCAGAGACATTGAAATTAAGAACAAACTAACCAAAGGGGAGGAAGGAGGGCATCATGGGGAAAAAATGAGGAAGGGTTGTCAGGAACATGTATAAAGGACACATGGACAAAGCCAAAGGGGGATAGGATCAAGGGAGGGAAGTGGAGATGCTTGGGATCAGGGGAGTGGTGAGGGGGAAATGGAGACAGCTGACTTGAACAACAATTTTAAAAATGTGAAAAAAAAATAAACACTCCCCCTCTCCCACCTACTCATGTTAGTATGATTCTGGAGAATTCCCTCTGGAGGTACTGGGCCAGAGAGGCTCTGAATTTGGGTGTTGCTTTTTTAGAATAAGGCCCTGAACTGAAAACAAGAATATTAACTCAAAGTTCACACACTGAAAGGTGAGACATTCAACCTTCCTTCTTTCTTCAGATTCCAGAGTGTCTTTAGCTAAGTATAAATTTCTCAGATGAGAATTTAAGAGGAGTATTTTCTATAGAAACTGACCAACCAAAGAGAAAAGGCACACAGGCTGTTTGTGGATTTTCTGATGGAATTGCCGTGAAATCTGTCTAATAGCTCTACCTGGAGCTCTTGGTTTATCAGTTTTGCCAATATCAATAGTTTCCAAACAGCATCCCAGTGTATCCCTCTTAAATGTGACAGGAGCCAAAGATTATCAGATGTTTGAGGAAAGACCAAAACAGGTAAACTGAATGAAAAAGAAATGAGGAAATAAAAGTTCACAAAATGATAGTATTGTGATGGAAAAGATACTGCATCCATGCAACAGTAGTGGGAAATCTGAAAGAAAAGGAACAGAAACCAGAGTATTCTTAGAAATTATAAATCATGTTAAAAAGAAAATCCAAAAGTACATGGAAGATAAGATTGAAAAAATCAACCAAAAAGTAGAAAAAAATGAAAACTGTGAGAGAAAAGAAAATTGGAAGATTGGTCTAGGAAATCCAATGTATGAGTCATCAAAGATACAGAAGGAAGAACAGAATAAATGAAAATGAGAAAATTGTCAAAGAAAGGAATCAAGATTTCCTGTACAAAAGTACTTGAGTTTTTAAACAGGCCTACTGAGTACCCAGCACCGAGAATAAAAACATTTAGACCAAGGAACATCATAAAATTTCAGAATGTCAAAGTTAAGACAGAATATAAGTTTTCCGAAGTTGGGGAAGAGTACCATACAAAGACTAGGAAATCAGAAAGACAGCAGACTTAACTGAAGGCTAAAAGACAATGGAGCAATGCCTTCAGAATTCTCTAAGAAAATCATTTTTCACCTAGAGTTTTATATCTAAACTACCAATGAAACATGAGATGAGAATAAATAGAGTTTCTCTATAAAATATATACTTCTCATGCGGTCTTCCTCTAGAAGCTATTTATTAGAGCACGTATTCGATCAGGACAAGGTGATTATCCAAGAAAGAAGATGACATGGGCCCCAGGAATAGGCGGCTGCCACCTTGAATATTAACATGATCAAAAATTTTCATAAACTACTGAAAAGATAAGCATAAAAGATTGTGGGGCTGATGAGTGGGGTATAAGAATGTTAAGCTTTCATAATCTCTAGTAGGAAGTCATTGTAAAAACATGTCTCTTAGCACAGTTAGGACCTTTGCTAGTTGTGCATAAGGATTACATGTGGGGCTTATTAAAACACAGGTTCCTAGGCCCACCCTCAGACTCTTTGACTCAGGATATCTGGGGTGGTGTCTGAGAATCTGCATTTATAACAAATTCCAGGGACTATACTTAGAGAACCTGAGAGATACAGAAAAGTAAAAGAAGAATGCCAGAAAAAAAAATCAGTTGAAAGTGTTTGCCTCTAAGTAGTAGGAACGGAGAGAGTGATATAAGTGACTGCCACTTCCTTTTGCTATTTTAAACGACAATTGACCCTTGAACAACATGTGTTTGAATTGCACCAGTCTACTTATGTGCAGATTTTTAAAATAAATACATTGTCAACCAACCATATTCCTGAGTTTCACATGCACAGATTCAACCAACTGCAGATGGTAAACAGCATTTTCCTTCTGTAGAAAACCCACAGATGCATAGTGCCAAGTCTATGAATTGTTCTATAGTATTTCATATAAAGGACTTGAGCATCTGTGGATTTTTGGTGTCCACGGGGGTCCTGGAACCAATCCCCCATGGATACTGAGAGGCTATAGTAAAGTTTTTGGGTGAGTCACAAGTTATATAGATTTTCAACTGCATGGGGATTGGCACCTCTAACCCCTGCATTGTTCAAGGGTCAACTATATGTCTGTCCTTTGTACCGTATGATTTGATATTAAGTTTTTTTTTGTTACATCCTTGCACCTAAATTCATGCTCTTCACTTACAGCGGAGACTCTTGGGCCCTCATGCAAAGCCCATATACTTTTGTTATCTCATAGTTCTAACAAAAGATATTAACTGGTATAGGGACAGAGACACAGCCATCTGAGACGTAAAGAAGCACAGAACAGCACACTTGGTATTTCGTGAGCAGGTTGCTGCCATGCTCAGCACAGTGCTGTTCTTGATATTTGTAAGAATTCTGACTCATTAAGAACTGATTGAGTGTCTGTTTGGTATATTTTATTCAAGCAAGTAAGGGAAATTCATATCTTTAAATTTTATTTCAAGATGAAATATGCATCAGTTATGTAGAAAAAATCCCTTCTGTGGAATACCTCACTCCTAAATTAGGTATTACAACATAGTCATTTAGGTTTCTAATTTACTCTCATCATGTTGTATGTGGCACTTGGGAAGAAGTGCATGTTATTTCTATCTCAAATGGTTTAATTGAATAACTCATTCTCTTCTTTCAGCTCTGCTCCAACTTTGGCCGAAGAACCCATCCTGAAGCAGAAGTGTTTACTGACAACTGAGCTCTAAGGGATTGCCTCCTCCTTTCCTGGAGGAGGACTGTTTAGCTGGAAGTAACTGGAATGTTTAGCTCCCTCCAGCAGTTTCTCCAGAAATCAATTTCTGCTTAACGTATTGGATTCAGGAGGTTGCCCTTTACTTGTCTTGTAAAAAAAAAGTTTGCCTAGATTTGACTTCAGTTCCATAAAAGAAACAGCTACATTTTGTCCAACTGAAACGGTTTAATTACACTGCATATTTTCCCAAATGAGAATATCTGCTCTTTTGCTTTCTTTAATTTTATGGACGTTTTCAATTCCTGAAACAAGGGAATTACTTTCCCTGAGGTTTTCCCTCAAACTCTTGGCTCCATCTAGTGGTTGTAATTGTTCATAATGCCTCTGTAACACGGCAGTCTCTGGTGGTCAGTTCTTTCTGGGTGAGAGTCCTTAACCTGATGGAAAAATTGCACTTTTCTGTGCATTAACTGGAAATAAAGAATTTAGGAAGTTAATGAGGACATTATATGGGTAGATGAAGTGTTAGGTTTTCTTTTTTTTTTACAATTATCACAATATTAAAAAGAAATTTAGAATACTAGAGGGTATTCAAATGTTGCCCATACTTTTGAATTCTTACTGGATTGGCTTTTTTAGTACTCCCAGTTTACATCAAGGTAAGATATACCTTGAGAAGAGCTACAGAGCAATCAATTGCCTGTCAGTTTTAGCTCTGCCTTCCTGCAGAAAGCACTGTTGTGCACAACACACATTTTCTCTAACTGTTCAGCCCAGAGGGGTAGAGTAGGCTAAGGAAACCCTGAGACATCAACCTTCAGGCCCCCATACCTCTTCCTGAGCCAGGTGGGGAGTGCAGCCTTCACAGACAGGTAATGGAGGAGCAGCACAGCTCTCCCTGGGCTGTCACTGCTCCATCCAGGTGCTTCTTGGGACATAAGCCCCATTTCCTTTTAATATAAACTGCATAAATTTAGAAATTACAAACTGAAGAAAGCGAAACAAAACATACCAGGACAGAAATAGGGAATCAGGGTGTGGGGGGATTTTGTTTCTTGAACACATACCATGTCTAAAGTATACACTACATACTGAACTCACATCCCACATTAGGAACTTTATGTTAGTTTTTAAAAAGTCCTCTAGAATTTCCTCATCACTTTTGGTCTGCACAAAACAATTCTGGATGTGAAAGTGGTGCATGCCCATTATAGAAAATAGAGAAAAGTGTAAAAATAACCACATAAAATTGCAACACCCAAAAAAACACTGTTTAGCTTTAAATCTTAGAATACATAATGCAAATCTCAGTTGCTGTTGGGAATGGGATGATGTGGAAACCATGTTGGTAAAGTCATTGTTAATCCTGGTTGTCAAGGACTGATGTTAAACTATACCTCCTGGAATTTGTTTTTTAGTTTTCTGCCCTGTGATATATGTGTAATTAAGTGCTAATTTGTGCTGCTCGGCCTAAAAGAACTTTCAGTTTATGATATTTAAAACTCATGGTTTGGACTTTCCTGAGCTATTCATGTGCTCAGGCAAGCACATGGCAGCATCTGACTGGAAAGCTCAGGAATTTTAATCTGTGCTGTTTCCCAGGGAGCTGTAGAGACTGGAAACCACTTTTTCACAAAGCATTTTTGCTGAAGAGAAGAAAGTTGGCACTCCTTGCTGGCTGCCTCCCCTTAGCCATTATGCCAAGCTTGTGAATTTCATTGGTAGAGCTCTTGTCAATTCCTCATTGTAAACAAATTTTCTCGCAGCTGTAAGTGACACTTAGAATGAGGGGCTTGACCCAGGACATACTGGACTGTACATCAAATTTTCAGTGTGCTGGCAACCCTGGATGTACTGAAAGGTTTAAATTGTACTTTTAACTACAGAACGACCTAAGGCATTACTAACTTGGAAGGCCTAAATTTTCTATCCAATGTATAAAGTAAGACCATCCTCATTTTAGACTTTTTAAAATTTAGGAATTAAATTGTTGGAAGTATTCTATGACCTTTGTGTCTTTAGGTACCTGTATTCTTGTCAGGCCAAATATATAGGGACTTTCTTAGAATTCATGTGAATCTCAAGCTAAAAGGAAATTTTATCTCATGCCCTGATATGAAGTGGTAAACACAGAAGTGAACATGTGAATGAGGAATTAGCTCTGACAGATCAGCTCTACCTTTCCTGTCATATCTGCTGTTCCTGTCATCCCAGACCTGCTGTGAATCTCATCTTGTTCTGCTTACTGGAGAATGGAGGGAGGGAGGGGAAGGCTGGGGATATCTGTGAATGTGTCAGGTAGGGGAGGGGAGAAGTCTGTCTCTGAGGAGAGGGAAGCACAAGGGCATCAGTACAGGATGCTAGCAGAGGAAGTGTTGAGATAATGCCGGCTAAGAAGGCAGGCTGGTTACACTGAAGTGGGAAGGACAGCTGTGGTGGCCCTACAGGCTGGTGACCTTCCGGGCATAGTACCTCATTCCAAAAGGTTACAACCCACTGAACATCTATATCACCTGATGAACTAAATAAAGGTCTGATCCTCAGATGAAGGAAATAGCCCTATTTACTGTTCAAAATGACTGTGAGTTGGGCAGGAAGTTTTTCTGTATCTAGATGAGGTTCTCATTCAATAGCACAATATACGTAGGTAAAAAGAAATAATGGCAACGTTTAATTCAGTCAGGAGTAATGAGAACATCTTTGACAAGAGCAAGAACAATAGCTTGCTTGAACACTCCAGCTAGAAAGCTGTTCTCATTCCTCCAGTGGAAGGCAGCTTGGAGGTGATTTTTAGCTGAGGCAGCAGACCCAAATCACACAAAGCTGCTTTAGCCACAGACTCAACTACTCTATGGTTACTTTCTTCCCAATTTTCTAGTACTGGTAACTGATTAAGAATAACAGTGTGACTCTGGTAACTCATTAAGAATAAATAACCTGTGACTAGGAGTGGATTTTAGGCAGGTGCTTAGAAAGTGGTGGTACTTTTGTTCTCTTGCCATTGTTTTGTTGATCTGTGAGGTGTTGCTGTCACTGCTTTCTAATGGTTTGCTGAGTGCACTGCCCTGGGAACACTTACCGTGTGCCCTGCCACAGCCAGCCCGGCAGAGCAGGAAGGACATGAACCGCAAAGCAGCCCACTCTCCAGCCCTGGCAGGGGGGGGGGGCAAGAGTTGGCCTGGTGGTGTAATTGGTAGGTTTCGGCTTTCTGCCCTAGACTCTTCTTCAGAACTCAAAAAAGAGAGGATCCTGTTTCTTATTAATTGTTGGGAGTATCGCCTTTGTGCACAAAGGAGGGCTGGCCGCTCTTTCATTCCTGCCTTCCTGGAAACTACTAAACAAGAAATGATTAGGTTCCTGTGATCTTGATAAATTTAGGCTGGCAGTTTTCCTGAAATGTTTGTTGTTTTAAGAAAAATTCTTTTTAGAAATACAATATTCCTTGCAGTCTGCTAATTTTTTGTCGTCTTTTGCACCATCCCAGATGTTCTATGGACAATTCAGGATGAAAGCCCTGGGTGGTGGCTGCATCATGACTGCTTATCTTTGTGTGCTTCTCGGTTCTGACTAAAACAGCCCCTCTGGCTTCTCTCTTAGATGAACCCCAGGATGAAAGTGCAAGTGTCACCCCAGGAATTTTGTTGGAGCAGAAGTATTCGGCAATCACTTACAAATCTTTGATATTTTTCTATAGGTAAGGACCTTGAGTAACAAAGTTCTTGTCTTCCCATTTAGAGCAAGGATCAGGGAACATTCTTCAGAAAGCAGGGGTAGTTAACATTTTACAGTTCACTCTGCTCTGGTGCAGAAGTAGCTGAAGCAACAGAAAATGCCTGAGCATGACTGACTTCCAGAGACATTTCATTTACAAAAATAGGTGCTGATTCCTGATCTCAAGCTTTGTAGGTTGGTAGAGTGGCTCCCTGGGAGTCAGGGAGTTATTCAAATACATTCTTTAGCATCATCTGCCTCTTGGGGCACCTGACATTTCTAGATGCTGGGTCTTCCCTCACATGTGGACAAGATGTAGTCATGGGCCTCCAGCTCTGAGGGTCTTTGTGAGGAGTCACTAGTTTCTCATTCATCTTGCCCTTAGCCTTTTAATTGCTTAGAAAGCTGGAATCTTCTATACACTAAATAATATTTCTATATAATTTGTCCTTTTCCTCCTCTCAAAACTTAAAACACTCTGGTTCTTGAATGACCAGAAGAAAGTTAGAAGCTTTTCATACTCTTAGCCAGGATAAGGAAATTTGTTAGGATTATACAAACATACCCTGAGCTGGACTCCACTGTGCTAACATTTTGGTAGAGCTGTGACTGTTTCTAGTTCTAAGACAGAGGATCATTGGTCCCTTTATCACATTGCTTGAGACAATTAATCAGTCACTTCCCAGGATTTCTTTTACCCGAGAGGCATCTTAGCACAGATCCTTGGCTCTTTTTATCTTCATATCTGAATAGGAGAAACAGTGATTAGGACCTCACTAACCATTTTGGGTTTACTTTTTATATGTGTAAAGCTTTGCAGTAGCTTTTAAAGTGTAATTTATTTTTACATCAAGTGTACTATTCACTCATGGTGTCCACAGATTTATGTATTAGAAGCACTGCACTGAACTGTGAGTTTGTATGCTAGAGTTATAACTGTAGCTGTGTACACAATAAAGCTTTTGTGAAACACATTTTTATGAGCCATCTCTGTTTCTTGGAAGTGTAATACTGACACATTGGCCATTTCTCTTAATAGAACTGTTAGGTCAAAGTTGCTATTAATAGGAAGATAGATGAAGGAGTGAACAGAAGTAGCACCACAGTTTGGGGTGTTCATTTTAGTATGCTTGGTGTGAACTTGGGAGTATAAGCTCAGATGCTTATACTCCCAAGTATAAACTCTCAAATGAGTTTAAGGACCTCATTGGTTATACACAGCGTATCCTGGAGGTCACAGTGGTCATTCCCAGGAGCAGCCTGGAACAGTAGAAACATAGCTCTACAACTTAATAGCCCTGAGACTAGATCAGTGTGTAACAAAGCTATACCTCTGTTGCTTTTCTGAAGTGATCCATTCAGAGTGTGGCACAATGTCTGCCCCCTCCCTGCCCACCCTCAGGCTTCTCCAGGTGTGCGTGGCACCATCCCAGTGAGGACAGTGCTGCTTGGTTTTTTTTTCAGGACTTGTGCTGGGCAAAGTCAGATATCACTATGGGGTGTCAGCCAGGCTCATGAGAAAGTCTCATCTTTCCCCTATCCCCCCCTCTCTCTGCCTGGAAGGCAGACAGCACTGGGCCTTGGAAACCAAGGAGCTTTTCTTAGGGAAAGGTATGCAGGGAGAAGCAGGAACCTGGGCTCAGTCACCTGTGCTAGGAGCTCTCCTAAATGGGATTTTCTTGGCAATAACCAAACAAAACCATTTTGCTTAAATTGGTTATTTGTCAAGACTTGACAAATGTCAAGATGTAAGATGGCAGTGTAGGTAAACACGGCTCGCTTCCTTGCACAACCACATCAAAATTACAACTAAACTATAGAACAATCATCATTCAGAACCATCAGAAGTTGAGCTGAATGGAATTAAAGAGTAAACTACACTGTGACTGGTAGCAGGGGCAGAGACACAGAACAGGCTGATCTTACACCCACATGAGGCAGGTAAGAATGGGGTGGGACATGTAGGAGTGAAGGGTCTCAGCCTAGGGTTCTGGTGCCAGGAAGAGAAGTTGCTATAACTTCTGGCTGTAAAAACCAGTGAGGACTGACGCTGTGGAAGACAAACTGCTGGACTTCTGGCAATTCCTCTTAAAGGACCCGTGCACAGGCTTACCCTGACTCACTCCCTCTGAGCTCCAGTGTGGGGGCAGCAGATTGAAAGGCGTCAGAGACATACAGGGAGGAACTGAAGTTTCTGGCATCAGTGCAAGAGCTGGAGGAGCAGCTTTCTCCTAGACAAAAGTGCTGACAAAGCCACTGTTCCTGTTCTGAGCCCTCTCCCCATAGAATTGCAGAGCCAGCAGGCAGGTGCCATATCTGAGACTCCATCAACTTTCCCATGTGAATGGTTTGTCTCGACCCATGTTTCAGATTTTCATAAAATTCTCTTGTTTGAGGGGCAGCTCTCAATAAGTTGCTCCAGTCTCAGCACTAGCAGCAGCTGGCCTTGGTTCACAGCTTAGCTTCACCCAGGCACCTCCAAGCCCAGCACAAGTAGCAGCCATCTGCAGATTACTTTGCAGCTTACACTGTGTGAACCCAGACAGAATACAAGCCATGGCTGATCTTGGATGTGCCAATAATAATCAAGGCTCAACTACAACAGGAGCATGTACACAGCCCACACAGTGGGCACACCTTTAGTACACAATTTGGGTGACTGGGAAGGCAGTGCTACTGGACCCTACAGGATACCAACTACATTAGGCCACTCTACAAAGGCTAGGAGACATAGCAGCTCTACCTAATACATAGAATCAAACAGGGAAGGGAGGCTGCCAAAATGAGGAGACAAAGAAACATGGCCCAAATGAACAACCAGAACAAAACTCCAGAAAAAGAACTACACAAAATGGAGATAAGCAAACTACTAAATGCAGAGTTCAACACTGGTTATAAGGATGCTCAGTGAACTTAGAACAACAACATAAAAAAGGGCATGGAAACCATAAAAAAAAAACAATAAGAAATAGAGAATATACTAATGAAAACAATTTACAGGAAATCAACAGCAGAGTGAATGAAGTTTAGAGTCAAATCAGCAATTTGGAATTGAAGAAAGAAAGAAACATCCAATCAGAACAGCAAGAAGAAAAAGGAATCCAAAAAAATGAGGATAGTGTAAGGTGCCTCTGAGACAACTTCAAGCATACCCACATCCACATCATGGGGGTTCCAGAAGAAGAAGAGAAAGAGCAGGACTTGGAAACCTATTTGAAAAAATAATGAAAGATAACTTCCCTAGCTTGGTGAAGGAAATAGACATGCAAGCCCAGGAAGTGCAGAGAGTCCCAAACAAGATGAACCCAAAGAGGTCCACAAGACACATCATAATTAAAATGCCAAAGGTTAAAGACAGAGAATCCTAAAAGCAGCAAGAGAAAAGCAGTTAGTTACTGACAAGGGAGCCCCCATAAGACTGACAGCTGGTTTCTCAAAAGAAATTTTGCAGGACAGAAGTGACTGGTAACAAATATTGTATGTGATGAAAGGCAGGGGCCTACAACCAAGAGTTCTCTGCCCAGAAAAGCTGTAATTTAGAATCAAAGGACAGATAAAGAGCTTCCAAAACAAGAAAAAGCTTAAGGAATACATTATTACCACCCAACTAGAACTATATGAAATGTTAAAGTGTTTTCTTTAAGAAGATAAAAAATATGAAAAATAAAATGGCAACAAATACATATATATATATATATATATATCAACAATTGAACCTAAAAAAACAAGAAAGCAGAATAGAAACAGAATTATAGGCACAGAGTATGTTTTGATGGTTGCCAGATGGAAGGGGGAGATGGGGGAATGGGCAAAAAAAGTGAAGGGGTTAAGAAGTACAAATAAATAGTTACAGAATAGTGATGTGTGGATATAAAGTACAGCATAGGGAGTACAGTAGCCGAAGAACATATATGCATGACCCATGGACATGGATAATGGTGTAAGGATTGCCTGAGGGAGTGAGGGTGGCTGAGTAGAGGGTGGGAAAAGGGGAAAATGGGGACAGCTATAATAGCATAATCAATAAAGTACAATTAAAAAGAAAGAAAACAGGTCCAGCAAGGGAAAGGCACTGGCCCAGGTTATAAGCACAGGAACTCAGGTCTCAGCTTCCATGGGACTTGAGTTACCACAAAGGGTAGCCACACTTTCTGCTGCACCCCTGAGGCCCTTCCTCCCTGGGTCCAGGATCTTCACTGGAGGAATTTCTTCATTTCAAACCTCCATGGCCTCAAGCAAAACCTCTCAAAAAGAAAACCACAGCATGGATCTGGAGAGACCCACATACTTCTGCCATCCTTCAAGGCTGCAGAGGTCCTGGAATAAACAGCCCCTCCCTCTTATTGGGTTGCAGCCAATATTTTCTACTTGCAGTGGTCTCTCCATGTTCACCCTGGGATCCCCAAGTGCCCCTTGTCCCATCCCTTCAAGAACTCCAAGTAACAGCCAGCTGGTGAACAGAAAGGAGGGGTGTTTGTAGGTAGTCCCACACATGCCCCAGGGAACCTTCACACAGTTTGCCAATGGTTCTCTTTTTTCTGTACAAAAACTTTAACATTTAAAAGAAAGAATCACATTTTACATTAGATCCTCAGACATTTATCTTATAGCTGAAAGTTTGTTACCTTCTTACTAACCTCCCCCTATTTCCTCAACCGCCAACACCTGGCAACCTCCATTCTACTTTCTGCTTCTGTGTGTTCAGCTTTTTCAGGCCTCACATAGAAATGAGGTCATGCAGTATTTCTCTTTCTCTGTTTGACTTAGCTCACTTAAAACATAATGCTTTCAAGATCCACTCACGTTGCCACAAATAACAGGATTTCTTTCTTTCTCATGGCTAAATAATATTCCATTGGGATATACCACATTTTCTTTACCATTCATTCAGTGATGGGCACTTAGGTTGTTTCCATATCTTGGCTGTTGTTATAATCAGATATACTGTTGAGTAATGCCACTGGTTCTTAATCTGGTTTTAAGTTAGGGACTCTCTTGCAAATCTGGACACATCGGCAGTTTTACACCCAATTCCATGTGCTCGTTGATCCCCTAGGAATCCTCAGGTTGGAAGCCCCTGCTCTGGATCAACGATGGGAACATCAGGGCAGCTGCAGCCCCTCACACAGCTATCTGTTCGACACATGCTTAATGAAGACTGGAAGGCAGAGAGTTCTCACCTAGAACATTAAAGAACACAGCACCAAACCAACAGTTTTGTACAAGTTCTTACTGAATTATAATAATATACAAATCTACCCTATTGGAACCCTGTCCATCAGCCCCTGCCTTGTCCTTGTAACTGGGGGTGAGACTAATGCTCATGGTGGGGTGAAGGTTAAATGAGTTAACACTAAAATCACTGTCTTCAACCCAGATCTCTGCCTAGACCCCCTTTTAGCTCTATTTGGATATTTTACAAGCACCCCAGATTCCGCCAAACTTACAATATTCTGTGAAAACCCCCAATACGCCTCCCCTGACCACCACATGCCCAAATAACTGCTTCTCAGTCATCCTGACCGCAGGGAGTTGTTTACTGCTCCTCATTCCTCTGTCTCCCCTCCTGTGCCCGATGAGTCTTCAAGTCCCCCGGGGTCTGTCTCTGAAATGCCTTCTCATTTCTGCAGCTACACCCTGTGCTCAAGTCGAAATTTGCCTTGAGCTTCTGCAGCTGCCTTCCTGTTGGTTCCCTGCATTCAGTCGAGTGACTCCATTTTCCAACTGCAGCCAAAAATGAGGCCATGCACCTCCTCCACATTGAAGCCTTAATGGCTTCTTCTGCCCTGGACACAGAATTCAAATTCGTTGCCTGGATCCCAGCTGGCCTGTGACTGTGTGGCTTCCGCTTGTTAGAGTGGCCTACACTGGCTCTCGTGACTGGGCCTTCCCTCATTCTGCCAGTACCAGGGTATGCCCAGGCCCCTCATCTTGAGGCTCCGTGCTGAGGGCTC